CAGTTCTCGAAGGTACAAGCGAAGCCCGATGAGCTCGCTCCACGATAAGCTAAGTATGCAGATTTTTGAAATAGGATAAACTTCCTTCTTTATTTCTGCTGATGTTTTTTCTGAAAGACCTGATAATAAAGCGAAGAGGCAAGGAAAATACCGAAATACGCGTTTGAATTCATAACGAGACCAGACTCCGAGCCGTCTGCGATGGGAGTAAAAAAGAAAGGGTTCGTGGGGCTTGATTACGCGAACGAGGGTCAGCGAGAATGTCGCGTGCACATGTCATTACGCTTAGCCTCGAACGTAATCGCGATTTACATGGCATCTCTTCGCACCTGCTCCCTAACCGTTCCGCTTCTTGCGGTACTCGGGAAAAAACGTTTCACGAATGCGAAACACGCGTGAAACGTTTCGCCAACCGGTCTGTATTCCACCTGGGAGATCGAAACGTCACCGTGTTGCGCGCGATCATTATTCATCCGTTCAAAATCGGTGTCTTATTACGAGACTTTATTTATCTTCCACGTTACATCAATCTTCCCTGTTCTACGAAAATCTAACTCGTTCTACGTTCGTTTCTACGCGTAACCACGACGAGACGCGTGATCATTGATTCGAGTAGAAGCCGGAAGAAGCGGCGAGGGTTGAGATATAACGATAGACCGGAGTCGATTTTCACGATAAGACGGGATAAGAAGGGAAAGAGAGACGACGTGCCCGGTTGTTCGCGCATCTTCCTGGTTATAATGCCAGCGGACAACGTCGGGAAGCATAGACGTTTGCTGGCACCCAACCAGCTGCCAGAACCCGTACAGCGTACGGGTTCGTCATCCGTATAGGCCGACCTCGAGACACGGTACAGTGCACCCTGCACACGCTTCTTTCGCAATTGCTCGCCAAGATTAACCCTTTCGCTACGAAGGGGGTACAGGGACGAGGCGTGACTGGTAAATAACGAGACTAGGCTTCTGGGGATCAACTTACGTCGCGCAGATCGGAACTTCACGAGCAGACGTTATCGTTAGGCAAACTTTAAAGGAGTACACTTGTTTTGAGGCATCCTGTACACGTGCGTGTATTCTTGTAGCAGAGAGTGTCGAATGAAACGATGAATAGCAAACGATTTGATTAAGCGCAAATGCTGTAACGACGAACCGGTGTATTGAAATAATTAATGGCCACTTCACCGAGCATGACGATCGATAGGTATATACGCGGGTACGTACGAGCAGTAAGGTAAAATGATAAAAACTTGCACATTAGCAACACGGTTATTGTTTTATCGTAACTCGACAAACTCGTACGAATAAGTTTCGAACGCGTAGGGTACGGGGATAAACGCGACAAAGTAGCCGATCGTGAAGTTAACTCGATTCCAGTGGCCTGTTTCGATTAGCATAAATTACTAGGCAGCAACAAGTCGATATTGCGAAAAATCGTGGACGTTCTCGATAGATCGAGCGGTCTGCTGCGGATGTGGAAACACAGGCTGATCCTCTCCGATCTTACGGGGTGAGAAGAAAAAATGCATCGAGCCAACCACGGAGAACGACATCGGATATCTAATTATCCAGGAACTTGTTTCTCCTGCCTGCGTTCAGAATGAATTCTCCGATCTCTCGTTGGTATCTTATTCTATTGGAAGAATTTCATTTTTCTTGCAAATAAAGATCCCGCTTTCCGTTACCGTTACGCGTAACAAAAGATCATTGAAATATGTACATGTAACCCTCGGAGGGAAAAATTCAACTAAGAACAACTTCCTCCTTTCTGCGGTGAAAAATAAAAAGAAAAGGGTTTAAAGTTGTAGGACGTAGAGTCGCTTAAATGAATTAAAGCCGTTTATCTTTGGAGAAATCCCTGTAAATTTCTTGTTCGTTCAGCGAAGGATCCTGTAATCCTGGCGATTTAACGCCTACCAGAGGATTCTTGCGCATACGAGGAGAAGCGTGCTCGTATTACGGTTCGCTCGGTACTACAGTTACGTTAATATCCGTGACAGAGACACGTCGAGCATGAAGAAAAAAGTCAGAAAAGGAACAAGGGAGACCACGAAGAGACAGCCAAGTAACCGACCAGAAACGTGGAAGAGCAAATACGTGAGGTGTTCAAGAAGTTCTAGGAATGCTGTCTTTCATGAAGATTTAGTATTAGAGATATTACGATGGTTTTATGAAAATTTTCTAGAAAATGAAAATTACGTAGCTACGTGTTCTTCCATCGAAGAGCAAACTTACCTGGCTCGCTCATCCCAGCTTATTATCAAAGGGAATCGGATTCTGTTCGTTGTTCGCGATCTTCCTCCTGCGACCGTCAAGAATCAAGAACAACACTCGCGAAACGGATGTTACCGGTCGAGTTCCGTTATATCTTTTCCTTCTTTCCACGATCCTCGATCACGATCTCGTCGTGACAAGTTTTACCTCGAGCTAGCTCGGTTCAAAGAGGGGAAAAAAGGTCGTGTTTGGTTGTTTAAAAAGTTTTCAGCACGAGATCCCGAGGCGAATCGATGGACAATGGGGAGCGATAGCGATTGAATCGTATTAAAAGTAATCGCAAGGATAATACCAATAAGTGGGCTGGAACAACAATAGCGATCAAATGAACAGCCTCGATTGCAGGAGAAAGAGAAGTAACGGGCGAAGGAGATGAAGAGTACAGACGCAGAGGAATAAGAGGAGGCGTAATTTCGTGGTGGAACAAAAGAAAATAAAGACGAGACATGAAAATTTATCGTCGACTTAAGAAGGGTAACGGGAGGGGGGATCTTTAAAGGCGCGGTTTTGAATTTATGGCGAGTGAATCGCGTTGGATGTGTGTACGGAGGTTCCCACAAGTCGTGAGAATCATTTATTTCGCGTACACGTTGTCGACAACCTGGTACTTAACTCCTTTCCCTTGACAACGAGTCACAGATTGTGGTCGAAACGAGACAAAACATTATATAGATACTCGCGGAGTAATCCAATTTTCCTTTAGATTATAACGACTAATATTTTCAAAAAAAAGAAATCATTATTTTGAATCTTTAAAATAAGCATACTGAAATAACATGTGCCAAGAATTCACTCTCGTAACTTTTTTTTTTCTTCGATCAAACAAAGTTAGCCGTGCAACAAATAAGCAGACCAGCTATAGATAGCAATATCGACTTTTATTTTCTCTTATGTTCGTTCCTGCGTAAGCGTCTTCAAAGTTGTAAGAGGTGCGGAACTTGTTAAGCGACAGGAAGTCACGGTGCCGGAAATCTCGTTCGATGTAACGTTAGAAGTTCGTGGCCGGAAGTAAACGTTTTCGAATCGTTCGGTTGTTTAAACCGTGTATACTAACTTTTACACTCGATGATCTCGACGCGTGTAACGATCGCTTAACCCTGAAAAGCGAACCGACTGTTAGCGATCTCGTGCATGGTTTTGATTTAAACGAATTAAACGATCCCGTGGAATATAGGCTTGTCAAACTTTTAACATAGTTGTTAGCCTCGCCTTCGTGTGTAGTTATTTACAGCAAAAGCTCGCTGAATTGATTCGTACCGACTCGACTGATCGCTTCGTGGACTGTCGCGAATTTCTCGCATCAACGATCACCCTAATTGCCATGCAACCTCGTGAATGGAACTTCAAATTTAATCGAGTATACGGGGTGTCCCTGAGTTTTACGCGGTCAATTTTCTCGAGAGAAGAAATAGCTCGGATTGTTTGTCAAACGCACTTGAGCTTTAATATATTTCAAGTTGAATCACGCGATTGCAACAAAGAACGAGAGGGGTAAAATAAATTCTAGTACCATTACTTGAAGGACACTACGAGTTTCCGAGTATTCAGATTACGTGGGCGTGAACGTAAGAGGTGTCTGAAAAGTTTGCTAAAGGGGAACTTTTTATTTACAGCAGAATTTTGTCGATGTCCCACGCGTTACGTAAGAATCGCAAAGTATATAAATGCAATTCGTATCGATGAATTGAGCGAACGCGAGGAGTACAATTTCGTGCTCCGCAACTTGAATCTCGTCGTATATTTTTCCTACGAACATCGACAACGCGAACGATACCGGTAGAAATATAATAGATTTGCAAGTTTGCAATAACTGAATCGTATAGATCTTTGTCGAAGCGGACAAGACGAATCGCGTGCGATCCTCGTAACTCGAGAGAAGAATGCAAGCATGATCGTTGGTGCGTCGCGAAACGACGGTTGTCCGTGAATAGCGGGTCATGCAAATTTATCAATTTACCAACTGGATGCACCGAACTACATTCAATTGGCGTACAACGTAGTCGCGGATCTACTGCGCGATCATTGTACTTGTAATTGCTTATTGCAAACAGTTTACGAGCGTATCAACAAGTAGACAGACGTGTTAACAATTTCATTAGAAAATGGGATAGAGGAATGAACCGAGACACGCGAAAACGCATGAAAGAATAGCGCGTTTTTCTAAAGGCTGGTTCCCTGGAGTAGATAAGTCTGTACCTGCGGTGATGCGACGCGGAGGAGAGCTTAGGCAGACGGTCGAAGGTACTCTTTTTCAAGACGTCGAGGAAGCTTCTTGCATTCGATGTCGACATTCGTCTGTCGTCGCACCCGCACTATCCTATGAGTCATTGCCCTCGCTCTATTCCCGAGATTCTCACGCGTTTGCATACAGGTTTAAGTTGTGTTTGTGTGTGTGGATGCGTTCGTGTCACCTGTCTGCGAAAACAGGTGCCTATTCAACCGGCGAGATCGCTTCCTCTCCCGTTCCTCCCGTGCCACGCCTGCTGACGTATTGCACGTTAGAAAAAGAATGGTGAATGAACAGGCCAGGGTTGAAGATAGGGTACAGAGGGTGCATCTCGTCCGTTCTCGAATAATGAGCCTTTTACTTGGGCTATTTTTTTGCGTATATCAAAATACACGAAGAAATTCGTTTCCAATGCTAGATAAGACACGGTATCTATTCTTCAATAGATACAAAGTATTGCAGTACGTGATGTATTAACAAAAAATATCGCGTTTGTGTTTCAGGTAGGCCAAATGCTAGTCCAACAGGCGACTTTCCTGAAAAGCATCGTCTCGAGAGCTTCTTGGTACGAGCGTAAGTATACTAAAGAGCAAAATGCTACTCCGTCTTTCGTTTCCTAATTTAAATTAACATTTAAATGTGAATTAAAAATTCCTGTCTCCTTTCTTTGACGTGAAAAAAACTGAAAGTCGCACACCTTATTCTGAGACAGCCTGTATCGCGAGTACGAACTAAAATTGTCGAGAGCATGAAAGTTTTACGCGCGCAGCGTATAACCAAACCCTCGAGTGCATTGGAAAAAGGGAACGAGGGAAGAGGAAAGGGAGTGCGATTTGGAAGTTGCACGTGGCTTGGCTCGATCGTTGCAAAGCGAGTCGATATATGTAGAAAAGCAACGAGACCGTTCCGATATAGAGCTTGGATGTACGTATATTGCAGGCTGGCTCGTGTAATCGAACCGAGGAAGCTCGAACGAGTTTAGGCGTTTCACCAGGCAAAAGCTCGTAGAACTTTGGAATACAGTAGTATAGGTATACGTATAAACGTCCTAGGCCGCCATTTCTCTTTAACCTTTGGGTCGGTTTTCTGCTCGCGGTCCCTCGCCAGTTGCATTCGGTCGTTCTCGGAGCAGCCGTGCTCGAATGCCTTTCTTCCGTGTACGATCGATTCCTTCTCTCTTTCTTCTTCCTGGATAATGCGCGGCTCCCCGAAAACGATCAAACCGTGCACGAGTTGTACACAGTCGCGTGCGTTGTCGTCGTTTACGTGTCCAAGGCAAATCGGGAATATAATTAAAGGAGTATCCGTCTAAAACGAGGGGGAGAAAAGGAAGCCTGTTTTTATTTTTATGAAATTTTTAACAACTCATAAAACATAGGTATTCAGTTTATTATTTTTTTTTCCTCTTATTCTACATATAATGTAGGTACCTGAGAATTGTACTATACACGTAAGTCACAATGGCGTTGTCCTTTTCAACAGTGTTATCCTCTTCCTCTTGAACGCCTTTTACGATAGCACTGGCATCTACTCCTCGACGCATCCTTTGAGATCGAACACGATTCAGTATGGTCGAGCATGATCATCCGAATATCCTGGATTCTTGTCACGGTTTCTCGACATTCTATTCTTCTCCATACTTTTCTTTCCCCTGTGCATATCGTTCATTGCCAGAAATTTAGACGTTAAGGAACCTATTGAATTCGTTCCAAAACCTTTTTGTTCTACCAGCGATCATCCGTTGAATAATACTTAATCCTACAAGAGATTTTCGATGAATCGATGCATTGTTCGCGATGAGATTTCATTTCTTTCGAACGGCAAGGTGGCAGATCGCGGCGTTTGTACAGTTACACGACCACGTTGATCCGTTAGGGAAAAGAAAGCGTTTCATAGAGATCGTTGGAGCGTTAACAGATATTAACTCACGGCTGTCGGTGTAATTAGTTCCAATTGGTAATTCAACCGCGACCTCCTTGCAGACTTGCTCGAGCAAACCTAACCCAGAGCGAAAGAGCGTCAAGATACTTAGACGATACACATTTCGTTTTACTTCAGAAAAATGTCGCGTTACGGTGTTGGTGCGTGATTAGTCGACTCATGGTCGTCGGAATTGGCTGGTTTTTTTTTTCCACAGGTGAACGGCGAGAGGACGATGTTGTCGTATATGCTTCCAACGGAGGACAAGCCACCGCCGGGAGACTCGAGTCAAGGCAACTTTCGTACTAACAAGTTGCAGAAGAGTCCGAAAGAGCGTTCGTTCGCCACGAGGCCACCACCTGGCAACGTAATCACCGTTTCACCGAAAAAGTACACCGACACGGCCAGAACCATGATCGTCTCGAAGATCGACGAGCATGGTAGCGATCAACAGGTCCAGGACGAACAACATCCGATGACCAGCGAAAGTCCGAAGCATAACGGAACCGTGGTGAAAAAATCGACTTTGCACGCGTCCAAAGTTGCCAAGGATGACAGCCTTTATAGCATCAACAGCGATGCTAGCACCGTTGGAAGCGATCGGAAGAATAAAATCTTCAACGGGGCGAAGCACACTAGTCTGAAAAGGTAAGGGAACACGACATTATACGAACGGAGACGCGTTGTAGTCCAATAGTAGAGAATAATAGAATGGCAAGCTGTCGGTTGGAAAGGTAGGAATCTTGCCATTTAAAGGAGCAATACTGTGCTGATTCGGGGCTAGAGATAGAGATAATGACGTAGCAAAGAGTTCAAAGGTGATTCTAGACCACCTTTCTAATTTGGTTCGCCAGGTCTTTAACCTTCTCCTCTGGTATATCAAACTCGCGCGACCGATTAACTCTCACGGATTCTTTGCTATTTCTGGCAATTTTCCACCGACGCCTATCATTCTAACCTTGAACGATCCGTCTTATCGTTCTTTTCACTTTAACATAGTTATCTACGGAGATAAAGCTTAGCAAATACACTACCGCCTGTTTAATTTTTCATTCGATCGCGATATCACTTCCTAGTTCCTAGCGTTGTTGAACAAAGAAGAATAATACGAATGTTTTTATCGTTTAAAATGCTTCTCAAAGTGTTGATATAAGCTTTCCATTGATAAAACGTTCAAATCATGTGGTCGAAAGTGCAGAGAAAAAGACGCGTCGAAAACATGAGAGATCAAAATGATTTACGCGCGCTGATTCAACACGCAGCTCAACACACCACGGTAGTAGAAAATCGTAACGAATCTTTCACTGTCAAGGTAGAATGTTTTCGAAAGCATTGCTCGAGTTAAATTTACCTGACAGGTCGAAAAACAGTACCGAGCCCGTCTTTTTCTATTTCTAACCAGAACAACGTCTCTCGTGTTTGAGAGAGAACGAGAGATTACGGTTCGCTGACGATTAGTCAAGATGACTCATACTGTTTCTTTAACTTCTCTAAATGCTGACATTATCGCATCGCTGCCGAAAAGAAAGTTTGATTAATGATTCGTATATAAATATGTTTCATTGAACGACACTTTGGGAAGCAAAACACACACGATCGAAGTCCTCGTTATTCGTAGATAGAGGTAGAGGATGGTTATACCATACCGGTTTATATCTCGTCTTTTACGACGCATCTTCCTGAAGCTTTCGTGACATTTACGTGTTGGCTAGGTCACGGCCATTCCACGTCTCCTGGTCCCTCTTCGAATCAAAGGCTAACGCGTTACAGACCTTCTACTCGGTATTACCTACTCCTTCGAAAACTTGAGCTTATCCTTCTAACGTGACGTTGTTTCACGCAATTTTCCGTTCATTTTAATCTTCTGTCATCTATTTGGTCTCTACGTTAAATTTGGAATCATACACGCTGATTAGTGTCACGAATTTGACTAATATATTTTTAGAAATTTGAAATTTTAACGCGAGCTTAATTATCGATAAACGAAACAACCTTCGAACGAATCTCAAACAAATTCCACCATTATACGATGACGTTCAAGGGGAGGAGGCTTCTCTCCCACATGGTACTCTGCTTGATTAGCTGTTCGATGAAACTATTCAGTACTTTTGACGTGGACCAAATTCCTACTATTAAAACAACCGTGAAGTCGTTAAAATTATCCGAAGGTTGTTTGTAAAACAATTTTCTACCCGATTTCCTTTGCATTTTTTTATTGTACATTACAGTAAATGTATTATTCGATAAGTATCCTTGTTTTCTTTTCATTTCATTTTAAATACAATCTTCGTTACTAATTGTATCGCGTATCTTGTGATATAAAATTACTCCAAATGGAGAAATTCGCCTTTTGGAGATAGAAAACGAGAAAGTGATGCGTGGGTGGATGATCGGCAATTACCGTTACGTCATCGGGAACAATTCGAGTTGGTGACACAGATCAGATGTAAGTGGAAAAGGTCTGTACAGATTGCAACAGGAACGATGATAGTATTTGGAGGATGTCACTGAGGAGCCACGTGACTGGCGCATCTCCTTTGCCTCGTATCCCTGTATTACCCTGTCCAGTGCAGCTTCGTTGAGTAATTTTCTCGCCACGTGGCAGCACTGTGCCGTCACCCGTTCGAGTCTAGATCAGAACCCCATTTTTTTGAACTTACGCTAACCTGTGCGTACATCGTGTAAGATAGACGATCGCAGCTTTAATCTCGGCCGCGCTTGATCGCCGTAATTCGATACCTCGATCGCGGGATTTCGATTTTGATATCGGACCGCCCGCTGTTGCGGTTACCGAGTGTCCGATTCACTCGCTTCGAGTGCTGTCACGCGATAGGAAATTGAGGTTTACGGCAACTATTTTTACCGCTTTCCACGCGAGACTGATACTCTTTTTCTTTTGCATCGATGGTTGTCCTTTTGCTGCCGCCAGTTTGTAACAAATCATCTTTCAATTTGAAATGAAAATATTGTACACAGCGTGTGTAATTCTTTGCAGAGTTTCCTTCGGTTCGAGCAAAGGATCGATGGTAGAAACTCTGGTATACGAGACACCTGTTCAAGAAGAGCCAGAGATCAATCGTTTCTTGGACCACAATGGACGCGTACCCTCGATAATCACTCCTGTACCTGATACCGAGTAAGTAAACGACGCTTTTCGCGCCATATTCTTATACACTCGTTTGCGCATGCGCGTAGCTCGTTGGGTCGATCACGTGACGCGACCCCTGCCGATAGGCAGCATTCTCTTACGAGCTGTCAAGGGGGTAGGTCGTTTAACTTGCAACATTCTAAATATTCATGTTTAGTAGCATTTTTATCGTACGAATTTCAACAATTCAATTAAAGTAATTTTATAATAACAAAATAACAATACGAGAACTTTACTTTTCTTTGATGACTCACCTTCATAGTTGAGTCATCCGCGATTATCGAGCGAACAGCTATGCAATGTAGTGGGGATAAAGGCGCGACGATTTTCAAGAGAATACTGTGTAATTTTTACATTATTTATTTGTTGCTTTATTTTACTTTTTCGTATCGAAGATCGACATTGCTTTTTATCAACGAAGCTGGGGAATTAGACATTACTAAAGCGTAGTCTAGCGATTTAGATACTTCCGCCCACGCGCGGTCTTCCTAATAGACTTCTACTTATCGCTCGGTACGATCATTATCGCGTTTGATCCGGTTAAACGACGGTGCACACGCTCGGAATACTTAATGTCGTTTTTCGACAACGTCACTATCACATTCAGGATCAGGTTTCGTTAATATGGACAAACAGTTTTAAAAAGATCTTTTTTTTATATCCAGCCTTTTGCTGTAAAAAGACGAAAACCAGTGGTCATGTCGCAATCTCTCTTTAAAAATTATGAGTACGCTTTCGGTAAGCATCTCTCGAGCAAGGATCCTTAAAGCAAAAAGTAGTACGTTAACATAAATGGTAAAGGTTTTAAAACACGCCATGGCTACTTGCGGATAAGATATGACGTCATACAAAAATTTGCACATTAGCAAATATGAATCTCTACTCGCGATACGTATCTTGTAGCCATGCAAATGAAAACCAGTATCGATCTAACATTATTTCAAGTTGAAGACTGCTGTACATTTAAACAAGACAGTAAGTCAGTAAGGGTAGTTTGTCCAAGGGAGTTTTCTCTTCCCCTAAAATAAATTCTGACAGACGAGGAATATCGTCTTCCGTAAGCTACTTGAAGAGTAAGGACAGGGATTGGAAATAGTTTACAGGTTCCTTATACATCTCTGATGTAGGGAAATAATAAAAGTTATGAAATAAATATTGAAAACTGTATAGGGGCGTGTATAAGAGAGAGTTTCGCGAAATGGCCGCTAGAGTGCAGCACAGTCGCTGTTTGTCCCGTACGACGTTTGCTTGGTCGCTCAGTCTGGAGCGTGACCAGGTGGAGCGAGGGAGGTTTACAGACGCACAGGCGTGGTGCCGAGGATTTACGATCGATTTCGCGACTCGTAGCTGCTCCGTTTCGCCGAACGGTCGAAGTTTAGTACGTGTCGTGCCCGGGCAACGGTCAACAGCCTTTTTCGTTTTCGCGAGTGTCTAGGGTTTTATATATCGGCTGATATTACCACCGGTTGGACTTGACCGAAGGTCGCCGGGTAAAAAGAACTTGCATGCCAGGAGTATTTACAGGAGCATCACGTCATTGTTCCCGAGCCACGGCAACGGGAAGCTGACGGATTCTCATCTGTCAGGTACGTTTCTTGAACGCTTGTCCACGCAAATAGACGGATAAGTAAATTCATTTCTGCGACGAGAACGCAACGATTCGGTGGGGAGATGTATAATCCCCTTTTCAATAGGATCGAATCGAATCGAGGTCGACTCGACGACTTTTCTTCCCATCATCCCTTCGTTTTTCATACTATTTTAAGCGCAACGATGGGAGATTAGTTGGCGTACGTTTTATCGTTGCGTCTCGCGCGCTCCGGGTTTTACGCGTCGACGAGAATCGTGTATCGTACTTTACTCTGGTCAATCGATCCCTCGTTGGAAAAGCTCGTTTAACGGGACAAACTAATGTAATAAAAAGGGGAAGTTGAAGATGAGAAACGTCGTAGTTACAAGGGAGAAGGAGAAAATGCAAAAGAGAGCAAAGTACTCTCTGGCCAGTTACCATGGCGACGAGCCATCTTGACACACTACCGACCCTTTCTTTGGAACCTTTGGATTTTCCTTTTGTTAAAACCGGTACCTCCACTCGAGCAGGTAACGTTTTCGCGTTAACCTGGTGCTTTGCTTTCAATCCTCTCCTCTTATGTATACAGACTAGCCTAGTTTTCTAGAGATGTTTCAAACCGAGCCACGTACCAACATTATAAAACTGATATCAAGTTTTTAAACAATCATTTATTAAATTGTAATTTTAATTAAATATATATGTGTAATAAAGGCTTCAATGATTAGAGGTTTTATTAGAAAGTAGATTTGCTTCGCTGAACAACTCGAGCTTGGCAAAGTAAAATATTTTTTCAAACCTTATCATCGATTGAAATAAAGTCAAATCTTCAGCTCGCGAAGATAGTAGTCGTTATCTTTCTTTGCTTGGATATCATGATTTTTCTAACGAATCTTATGTGCGTTATCCGCGTACTTACAATTACGGAATCGTCTGACTGAGTTCCAACGATTTCCTTTCATCCAACATTCCGATGTGTAATTAAAACTTGTTATTTTTTTTTCAATTTCATGAAAGCAATCGGTTCACGAGAAAGCGATGCCTGTATGTGTGCGTGAAACTGGAGTTTTGTAATGCAGTGAGAAATACAAAAAAATCACTTGTTTCGATGTTGTATAACAATCGAACGATTGTTCTGCACAGTTTCGTCACAATATAAATTTAAGCAGTGTATCGCTGCTCGGTCATGCCTGACAGGCATGTCTAATTACGTGTCGCTGATGTCGAATACTGATTTCAAACCTGTCCTGCGCTTTTTGTCGAATAAACTTGAGTACGTTATAAATACATAAACATTCGTTTTTAGTCTAATTACCGACTTTTTCCCGTTTACACGGTACGTGATGTATCTCACGCTCGTAAAAACTTTCACGAGGTTTAAACGGTCGGTACTCGATACGAAACTTACGTGAGCGATAATCAAATGCAAATTACTTATTAACGATTCGTCGATATAAATTAATGAAGCTTATTGATAATAATAATAATTGGGCTTATTTCGTGGTTGAAGGAGAGGAAAACAGGGCCGGTTTGCAGCAATAAATTCCTTCCCGGTTATGAATACAAATTGATGCGACGCGTGTGGGTGTTTGCGGTGAGTCGTGCTGCACAAACTCGAGACGATCCCATTTGACTTTTCGCACACTCGCCCGTCCCCCACAACCGATCGCATACATGCTATATATCGTTACATAAATTCCGTCGAGCGTAAGGAGTTAAAAATATACGCTCGAGCAGAAAGCGAGACACGCTCGTTGTTGCTCTCCAAAATGGAAAACACCGAACCGAGTTAATCTTGACCGGTTCGCAATGCCGAACCGATAATTTACGCCGCGTGACGGATCGACAGGAATATTTATTGAATCCATCGTCCTCGTTAAATCTTGTTCTGCTTGACTTTCTAATCGTTTGACACGATTTTCTTTATCGCTAGTTCGATGGCCAACCACCAAGGACGATTCTCCTTTGAATTCTTCGTCCTTTCATCTGATTGTCAGTATGTTATCGTATACTCCATTTAGGGATTCAAATACTCAGCATTTTTATTTTCTTCGTATCATTGACCGTTCTTCTTCGCAATCGAGTAGAAGAGAATCGACCTCGTCGGCTTATAGACGCAATGGCGCCCACGTATCCACCGACTATCCGCCCCTTGCTCGTCGAATGATCGATGCCAATACTCTCAAGTATCTTTCTAATATAAAAAAATATTATCATCCTTGAAAAACTAGGTTAATATTTTACTAAACGATCTCTTCAAATCATTCTTACGTAATTAGATATCGTTAATCGATTGCCCTATCGACCTTCTAATTGATTCAACATAAATTTATGATAAACCCAACATTAACATAAATCCATTGATCAAGGTTTCAATATATAAATAGTTTCAAATTCTTTTCTCAATGGCCTCATCCTCGTGAGGTTACCTATAGATTACCTATAGATTAAAGAGGACTTGAAAAATCACGGTAAATACACAGGAATGTTTTGGCATACCAAGAATCATCGGCACAGGATGATATCACGAGCTCAAGGTCTGAACTTTAAATCGTACAGTAGGTGTTTAACTGCTCGATGACGTCAGGGCTCACGTTCTAGCAAAGTAAAGCATCGAATGTGGGTGTTAGGGGAAAAATAGTGGCCACAGTATAGCGGACCAGAGACATTACTGGAATAAAATCGTAAACGCTTTCCTTGTACCTCTGTCTGTTTTTCTTTTCTCTTTTTTTTTTCATAAATCTCTTTAAACGCAATCTAGTACTCGATTAAGCGCACATACGTGGGTCGATTTCTCTCGATGAACGCGCGTAACGCTCGCGTATTATCGTCGCAAGATCGATTTCTTCGTAACCGGCTGCATCAGGATGAAAAGTCGCGCGTGACCGTGGCACGATGAGAAACCGGTTTCAAGTCAGACTCGGAGCTTTGTTTCTTCAGGTCCTTTCAATTTCTTTCGTTCTTGTTACTTGGTGAAACTACCTTCCCCGCTTTTTTCTTTCGTTTTCACTCGAACGGAAGTTAGAATCGGTCAGCAAAGAATCGTAGGAAGAGGCCTTTCCAGTACTTACCAGAGAGGTTTTCGAAGAAGCGCGGTCAAACTTTCTGTTGCATCAGAGCCCCGTTGACGATGGTAGCCTCTAGAGATTTCAGAAAGTATAACCATATCAATGGTATCCACTTAACGTTATCCACGTGAGCGATTATCTATTCGATGATCGAGTAATCCAAGAAATTGGCAAGTGTCAGCACTCCCTTTTGGCAGGGTGCCATTCGTGCAACACGTGAGGGCAACGAAATAGTCGATGATTGTAAGAGCGTTACCAAAGAAGAAAGTTGCTCGTGATAAATTACCATTAGCTAATCGCGTTTTCGTGCTACAGTTTCACGACCTTTCCTGGTCGCTCGATAGCTGTACCGTTATATTCGATCCCACCGGAATATCACCGTACCGATAGTTCGAGTTAATATCATTATCGAATTTCTCTTCTTCATACCGCAACTTCGAAAGGGTTAAAATGTTTCTTTTTGTTTTTTCTTTTACAGCGAAGGTAGGGAAATGGTACGCGTCTCATTGCTAGGTCCACAACCTTCACCGACAACACCCGGCGTATTTCAGGTGCAGCCTATCGCGATATCGAGGATTCAACCGATCGACATGGACCCGGTTCCAGCCGAACTCCTGACCACGCACACCGAACACACGGCTCCTGCTTATCACACGCAAATCAGGTAATCATTTGTTCTTGTCTCAGGAAGGAAGGAAGGAAGGAAAAACTGCACATTCTCCGTGACTAAAGAAATTGAAAAGTCTTTTACCGCTTCGCATCTTGTGGGTCGCGATTCATCCGATCACGCGTCTGCTAAAACAAAACTTGATTGTTTCCATAGAGAATCTATAGTCTTCACGATTGGCAACCTTTTTGAAGCATCCTGTATAAATGATCGATCGCCTCGCTATATCGCTTTCACTCAGCCACCCACAAATGCGATGAAAGAAGATTGTAGGGGGAAGTGAAAACGGAGTAAAATATGATTATCGATTATCGAGAAATCTCGTTCGTTCTACTATCCTCGAATGAGAGCCACTATCTTTCTTGTAATTAGCTCCCTGCGTGCAACACCGCTGACCCCCGTGTTGCTCTTAATGGACCGGAAGTGACGTACCGTCCCCTCGATCTCTCTTTCTCTCTTTTTTTTTCCTTCGTCTTTGTACGCGGTAACCTTTCTCTGTCCAACGCTATTGCGCTTCCACCAATTTACTTACCATTCCTTGCAACTCTGTTACGTGCATGCACGCAGAATGTAGCTCGATATAGACATCGTTAACGGAGTAACTGTTACGCGTCCGCGCGTGCCATTTCGATCGCGACGCGATCGTTTTATGAATCATTTGCTCCTTGATCGTTCTATACGTCTTTCTTTCTTCTCATCCGTTTCTCATTTCGTTTCAATTTGTCTCTCGCCGTATCGTTTTACCGGTATGGTGTACATTTTCACGTATGAACCTGCTCGCTGGATATCTGCTTACACTGTGCAAACGAAGATTCTCGCGCATGATAAACAAGGGGACGAAATCTTTTGATCGATCGGGTGAAATATGTAAATTTCAGGCTTCCGGGTGTAAGGCGTGTCCGATAGAATGAAATATTTTAGTTTGCACAGTGTCACGTATTGGAAAGGTGGACGATCTCCTCTTACCTGTTTGGACGATAGAACGTACTCTCTTTAAATAACACGGCCCCCTTACGCAATTCGTTTATATCAAACGTTACGAAGAAAAGAACGCTACCTTGGCTTCGATCTGTTCGGTAATTGTTGCTCCAGTTGTTCGTTAACCCATTTGATACGGATCTGAACTGAGTCGAACGAACCGGTGAATGTATTCGTTAACCCTTTCATTGTATCTTCGAAAGTAGACTATTGATCGAGTAGTTAAGTAGATTCACACCTTTCTGAAAGCATGACAAATTCATTATTCATCAGGTTTTAAAAAGCAATTTTCAACTGTGACGAAAGGGTTAAACGGAGGCAGCAACAAGTGTTTGGAATTCAATAGAATCTATAAATCCGTTCATCGATTGATTAGATTGAAATTCTAACAAGGTATACTGCGCATAATAGAAATATTGCGTTGGTAACGTACTATCGATTCTAGTTTCTTGCTTTACGCGCAATTAGCAACAAGATTTTCGTCACAAGCTGCGACTTACGTAACCGCAGTGTTCTACGTATCACCTGCAACACATGTTGATTACGTACTGAAAACGCAAGATCAATGAGAAAACATTCCGTAGCAGCGTTTGCAAAAGCCATCCCATTATTTTTCTCTCTATTATTCGCCTTAGCCTACCGTATAAACTGTAAGTGGTTATCTTCCTCGATTGCGTAGTCCACCACTTCTAACGGCAACCGAAGATAAAAGACCTCTTTTTACGCGGTTTCGCTTTCTATTGTATCCTGTTCTTTAAACATAGAGATTCATAGTCTCTCGGTGAAATTCTTTTCACGATTAACTTTAGTCTTTACACCGTAATTCTGTTGCCTCGATTTCTTCTCGGTAAGGTTTCTCATCTTAAACGCGAAGAAATCGCTTGCGGTTACGTAAAGTCAGGGTTTTATTCGGAAAAGTGGAACCGGAACTACCATACCCAGTAAGCGGATTTACGAGGGTAGTGGATCTGGCTTCGATTCCCAGTGGCCCAATTTCTACGTTACCTCGTAATAATTGGTACCAAGATTCGAAATTCCAGGAAGAAAAATTCTGGAGATAGGAATAATAATGGAGCAGGAGTCGCATAATGGATAGCATGGGTGTGGGTGCGATCCCGGTGCTCCAACCCCTACTTCTCACGAATTCCTGCTTCCCCACCCTCTATACGCGGTTGTATCCGTCAACAAGCGTATGATTCGCACTCGAAACTGTATCCATCTTCCGGTGCCAGTGCCAAGGCAGTGTCAGTAATACCGTTTGTCCTCGATGGTAGCCAAGTTGAGCGAATGTACAAATAGCATCGGCAATGGTACTATTAGCAGTACCGCCACCACGAGGCACACTAGAGGTACTAGATGGAGGAAGGCGGAAGAGCGAGGAAGAGGTTTCAGAGGCGCACGCGGCAGGCGGGAGAGGAGGAACGATCGATATAGCGTGGGTGGATGTGCAGAGGTGCGGTAGGACAGCCGCCAGTTGTGCTGTCGGCTGCATCAGTGAAGAACCGTGCTCCGCTTCGAGGTGCATCGCGTTTCCTCTTTGACCCGTCGCGTCGCGTTGCACTCTGCTATCTACCCTCCGCGTGCACCCTTCCCTCGTCAACGTCTATCAATCGTATACGCGCCCACTTTCTCCGTCATCTATCCTTGCTGAATTCTTCGATCATGACGGTGTGACCATTACGTACGGAATAGAGGAAAAACGTGTCAGTACTCGATCGCGCCCTTTAGGGGGCATTCCGGAAGTGGAGGAATCGCTGGCTGGATCTTTGCACCTAGAGAACGCTCGAGTCTTTGGGAATCGTGATTCTTTTACGTGCAATTCTGTGCTTGTAGGAATGACTTTTGATTATTCGCCGTTTGCACTCGAAACTATGTTGAGAAATAGCAATCAAAGTGCCCTAACATTTTTGGGTGTGAATACATTTTTTAGAACTCACGTTAGAGATGAACATGTGTTCACGACGAGAATTGTATTTTTGCAGTCGATGCAGGTGAAAACGCACGTTACTTAATAAGGAGAAATGAATGCAGAACGATCGAGTTTTATGTTAATCGATAGACACATAGTTTCGAGCAGCCAGTAAATCTCCAGATACGCAGACCGAGGACACTGTGGGCTTCTTCAAAATAGAAACCAGCAGCATACTGTGAGCAGACGCGTGTCTTCGCGGATACCAAAGATAGAATCCAAAAGAAAATAAAAGTTTCCCAACGGCTATGATCCGTCTATTCCAAAGTAAATACCCAGAGATCGCGATGTTAATGAGAAAATGTTGCCGATCTTTCTTCCTAAACTTCCACGTAACTCTACAATTATTATGGCTTCTTGAAAATAGAACCTAGCGTTCTGCATTCCGTGCCTTCGTGGAAAAATAGCTCATTAAAATTTATGACCCTTCTAAAGCAAGTGCGCTAAGATCGCGAAGTTAAGTTGAAAATCAAAAACCAAGATTTCTTCAATAGTGGCTACTTGGAAAAGTCCATTTTCGAATTTCGTTACATTTAAGTTCCTCTAAATTTTCCACGTTCCAATTTCTGAATGGTTCAAAATTCTGCAGTTTCAATGCTGCAGTTTTGAAAATTCGAAACATCTGCTTTTGACAGCGTTGGTTCGAGGGCAGCGTGTTAGTACGCAATTTGGTAAAATAGCCGGTGCAAATTGGCTAGAATAACGAGAACCGGTGGCGGCCGAGTCGACGGGTCGCCGTGATGGAAATATCAATTGGTGTATCGCGTCGAACACAGTGCCCTACATGTCTGTTTATTGGCGGCTCAGTGGAGCTTCGGCACTCGAGTTTCCCTCTTGTATTCGTCGCGGCTGAATTTTCCTGGTCACCGAGTACAGGCGACCACGCAGTCGCGGAAAAGGCAACCGCAGCCTTACGCGATGGCGCAATCGTACGCACCCATTGCACCCACTGCTCGCTACTCTCTTCTTCCTTTTGTCTTTTTTAACGAAGAAATCCCACTGTCCTACATTTTCAAATATCTTGGAAATATCAAAATGACACGCATAAACATGACTACACGAACGCTTTATCGATATTTTTAATAGAAATTGCAAACTCGCGTAGGGTAGAGGCCAAACAATGGATTAAACTGGAACTCGTTAAAGAGAAGCCTGTAACAAGGAACGTGACCCGAGCAAGCGACTGGAAACGATTCAATTTTCTCTGTATTAAGCGGTCGAATCGAAAGTACAACGCGTGCTCGACTTCAAAGAACGACACAGTTCCATTTATAGTTTATAGTAATGTTAATAGATTTTGCCTTGGTAAATATCCACTTGGTTCGTGCATATTTTAGTAGTCCATTGCCTCGATGTCTGCAAAGTTTTATAAAGGTGATACACCCGTTGCTCGTCGAATAACAATTTTCTGTATTAGGAATTTGTGTCATGGTTTCGCGTATAGGATAATACCTCCCCTAGAATAGCGAAGACGACACGCACCAGAATTCCGCGTCCAACCATGACCCATATATGCTCTCACCCTCGTGTCGCGTTACCCTTGGCCAACCCCATCGTTGGAATTGCCAGCGACAAATACGAGGCGAACATCGCGCGTGTACAGAAGCCGCAACACGTATTTTACCTCTGATGGTAGCGAGGTCGTACCGCTCGTTAATCGGTATTTTGAAAATGTCAGCGCTCGAAATAACGAATTCGCGAACCGGGTGCTTCCAGGCTGATGGTTAGGCAACAAACATACGAGGCTTGAAGCTTAATCGCCTTGATATTCGAACCCGTTTCAAAGAACTCCATTACTTGGTACACCAAATGTTCATCAAGCTTACAGTAGCAACACGTTAATCGGTATGATTATAGTGTATTAGTACATACATGTATTTTTCTCGGTGGCAATTAACGTATTAACGGAATTGAACGATGGAGTACCTGTTTCCTGGTTACATCTTTTTATTTCAACGCAAGTATCACATGATGTTACATATCGGTAAGGCGTTAACCCGAGTTTCTTGTACGAGATCCCGTTTCTGTCACGAGATGTTTTTTATGGAAAAATGTCGGTGTATAATTAGCCGGTAGCATCGAGCCTACCGTTATTTATAACAGGAAGCAAAGATACCGCGACTGTTCCGGTCGATAGAACGCGATCAAGGGATAAACCGATACTTTTACGGGGTTTGTATGCTTCTGTAATTGCCTTGGTACTGAACATGTAGGTTGACGAGCTTCATGCTTTTTAGTCAAAGCCAAAAATTAACCAAGTAATTTTTACTCCAAGATTCGAACCCTTTTTATTTGCAATACTTTGTAAAAACAGGGATCGGATAAAGACGGGTTTGTCATCGGGTGCACCTACATCGCTGAGAATTGACTTCTGAGGAAGCCGTGTATCGAGTAACGGTTATAAACAGAATCGGATCGATGCCGGCTTGCGTCTATCAGCGTGCTCTGCTTGCACAACTAATTGCAAACGAATGAAAATCTGTTGCGCTGCCTCGTGTCTTCGCTTCGTCAAACGTTCGGTAGAACCTCCTCGTGAGAAACTTGTCTCGATTCTTCATCTCGGAATCTTGATTTAATCAAAGTCGTGTGCCGAAGTTTGTTATTTATCAGGAGGCTTATTATCATAAGAGAAGCGTATTAATTTCTCCTCGACGATAACACACCAGAAAGGAAGCTCCTGTTGGAGGTAAAAAGGTAGACAGCAATAGACAGCACGGGAATCGCGTAGGGTAAATAGGTCGAGGATTTCCGGGAAATAGGTCAGCTTCGACTGGCGCGGATCGATGCACAGCTTACGCGTTTCGTTACGATCGCCTATGGAATCCACTGTTTGCTCTCTCTCTCTTTCTCTCTTTCTCTGCTGTTTATTTGCACTGATCTTTGCTCTATATCCGTTCGATCGTAGCACAGATTCTTTCCACTATAGCGGTTTGCGCTATGCAAAAATTATAGTTTGTTCAGAGATGGAGGATGAGTTGCGAGGAAGTTACGGGGTGGAAATGATCCCCTTTCAAAGGTCCTCTAGCCCAGTCCATTTCATCGTCGAAACTTTCTCGTGACCTAATAAAGTTGGAAGATACTCGGGTCTCGTTGGAAAAATCGAGTCATCGTCGAAAGATGTTTTCCTGGCCGATGGAACGCGTTTCCTGAAATAACAAATCGCGTGGTCGCATTTAGTGACAACTAAAGAAAAAAAGGGGTTTTCGAGAGAGGGATCGAAAGGATAGATATATCGGTGGGAGTTGAAGCAAGAAAGGAGGGGGCGGGATGACGAAGGTGGACATGGGAGAGAAAGACGAGAAGCGATAGTTGCAAGGATCTCCCGCCACGATTCCGCTTAAAAATAAAGTCTTACGTTCCTCTTCGAGTTGGTTCGCGCGCAAAATCACACGCGAGTTCTGTTCGCGACAGGGTCGAGGAAATATTACAACCGATAGGGTCGAACGACGATTAATAACGTGAACGATCGAGAGCCAACGATGAACAATTTTATCAGCCGGTCTTGCTAATGTTCGAGCGTGTTAAAATGTTGTCTTGATCGACTAAGAAACGGAAAAAGGTGAAGTTCAACGTTGTTTCGCAAGATAAAGTGTCCGATGTTGATATCGAGAGACGTGGATTCGCGAGCGCGAGCAAAATGACGACCACCCACGGAGGACACGTGTATTACGTGATCAAGGTACCAAAGGAAACGGATGGCAATGAAAGGTAAATCATTTCGTATTCTTTCTCTTTCATTTTTCTGACTGACATCTTACCAATCGGGAGGAAAATCTATGAATAGTATCTTCGATGCCGTTCATCTTCTTTAATTTCATTTTACTATTACTTGGACTCGTAAAACTTTTGGAGCGTGCCTGGTACCCTGTTGTTTTTGCGATAACCTTTAAGATATCGTCCAAATTCACCGACGGATCGATAGTTCGAGTGGAATGAAGAAAAATTTGGCCGATTCACCTCAAATGTATCGCAGTTGGAGCAAAACAGTTACCTTTGGCTCCTTTCCTATAGGTAGCCGCATGCTTTATTTTCGACTCGTCATTGATGTGGATCGTGTGGATCCTATCTATAACCACTACTTGTGCGTTTTACGCGGCTAATTGTGATGCACTATGTATAGTATATTCTGCGTGTTATCCTCGGGTATTCTCAATTGCCTATGGTCGAATTCATTATGTATCTCCATATACGGTGAACTCTGCATACTAATTAGATTGCAATGCGTTTCACGATACGTGACATCGAAACTCAAACCATAATGTGTAAAATGTGTAAAACGACTAGTAACAACTTAGTCGATGATCACTGACCAAATTCACGACAGCCACATAAATAACGTAACTGCTTCCTTGACCAAACGTTGAAAAGCTTCCGTTTGTCGTCCTCTAAATCGACTACATACTTCTATCTCCATTGTAGCGAACCACGACGGAACTACGAAGATTAATCGTAGCTGGAAGAAGCGAAGGAAGCCGGTGTTCAGTTTCGCAATATCGAACATTATTAGTCTGGTTGGCCGTATTCCAACCGTTCCGGCCAGCCCACTAGCCATCACTTTGGATAACGCTATTGTAAAGTGTCGTTAGATAGAAAATTGTAGGGAAACAATACGTGGATGATGATGATGATGATGATGGTGTTGGTGAAAAATCCGATCCGTTCTCGCTGGAACGATCGCGTGTTCGTTCGTTACACGGTGAAATAGCGAGGAGGGGAAGGAAGATGGGCTGCAATTAGGTGCAACTCAATATCGTGGCCAATGTCACGGTTAAGTGGGAGTGGCAATTATAATTGAATCTAATTTGCGGTTACGTTTTAGGCTCGAAAAACAAGGAAGTATTATGCAAAAACAAATTGTTCAATTGTCATTTGACAATTGGATCGGTACGATGAAAATCTGAAATCGACCTGACGAAGTCAATCGACGTAACAGTGTCATTCCGTTTACACGAACGAAAGTCTAATTAGTGGAATTTTAATTTCCAGCACGGATAGTGGTTGGGATAATCCATTCAGACCCGATGGCGACCTTTCGAGGGAAGCCGACGAGATAGTGGAATTGATAAAAGGTGGAAAACCTATCACACCGACCCCTGGACAAACAGCTCCGCCGTTGCCAGGATGCGAGGCGGTAACCAGCAACGCGCAAACCACCCTCGACCACGATTCGTGTTCCAGCCCTTTGCTGAAATCATCGGCGAACTCGACGAATCGACATGCAAACTCGTCGCCGAAACCTGGCCAAGAAAACGGAAACGCCCATAGCACTCCGATGAAAGGTGCAACCGCGAACAAGCAGCAGCCTGTCAACGAAAAGGTGACGTTAGTCTTTATTTTCCAATTACCCATTTTTCGATGCTCCCAAACGTTTAATTAATCGATCGATGGAAACATGTTACAGGTTGCCCCGTCGTCGAGAGCAGCTACAGTTGAAGTAGCTAGAATGACGGCACAGGGACCAGGCGACGCTTCGCAGGTCGAACACGTCACCCTGAAGAAGAAGCCTAAATGTAAATGTTGTGTTCTGCAGTAATAGACGAAAGCTTCTCTAAACTATGTCGCACGGAATATCCCAACCAACTCGGCCGACGATTTTCCGTCGTTGAAAATGGATCGCGACTTCTAACGTCAACGATCGTTGTCTGTCGGTTCGCCTTTCTCAAGATATTCTTGCTTAACACGGCGACGAGCGTTGCGTGGAAAACGCAATGCTTCCTATTCCTATCCCTGTGAAGAAACGACAAGAAAAGTCGCGTTTTCTCTTTTGAATACACGAATTTGCGAGAGAGAAGGATACCGTGTACGAGAAAAGTCATTTCGACGAATTACTGGGATTCATCGTCGACCAAAAAATCGACGTAACAGTGAAGAAGGATACCTGATCATGCGTAAGCAAAGAAAAAAAAAAAAACAATGAAAAGCACCGAGCCTCTTGATAGCCTTTCAGAGACAGTGAAGGAGTGTCTATAAAGTTAACACAGACTATATTAAAAAGGAGAGAATAAGAAACAAAAAAAAATATATATATAAATATACATAAAACTCTATATTGTAGATACAGAAATGGTAGTTGTATAGCTTATAATGCTTTTACTATTGTGGTTAATTACTGTCAAAATTACCGTGATTTCAAGAATGACCGATGACGCGAGCGTGAAAGTCCGCAGCAAGTTGCACACAAGAATTATGTTTCAAACTTTATCAAAAGTTAACGGGAGGGGGAAAGGGGAAATGCTACTATACTTCGTTGGACATCGATCTCTATGTAATACCAATAGATTCGTAGACTCTCGTTTTTACTAAAACTCAAATCTCTATATGCAACTTTTACGAAATTTTTTAACGTTAAAAAAAAAAAAAAGAAAATGTAAAGAAGGGTACGCGTGGATCGTGTGGCGCGAGACTCTATACGAAAAGAAACTTCAGGTCTCTGTATTTTTTCGACAAAGCAGAGTACTAATTGTCCGTTTGATCGCTTTTTCTCTTTGGTCGCTTTATATTTTCTACACCTCGCATCGAAATAAACGCAAGATAAGAAGATGATGATTATGTGTAAATTAGGCGAGCTGGCGCTCAACAGTCCAACCGCGTGGGTAACTATTCAGGATCGTCGTACGAGATTGTGTAAATATCGTGATATTTTTTGAATTGTACGCGTGTGATTGACGGCGATCCGAGCTGTTCAGACAGGAAAGAAACGGATAAGAGACGATTTTTCCTCTGTGCTCTACGTGAAAACAACTTCTCGATTGCTGCAGTGGCACAAACAAACGCGTCGACGCAAAGGAGAACCAGTGCGCTTGTAAATGTCGACGCACGAACGATCAATTTTTAAGGAGAAATGTTTTTAATCTGATGACTAGACTTACGGATGTTTATGTATTTATGATGTATCGAGAAATATAGAAAGATATATTCAAGATGCGTGGTACGTATAGGAAAAGAAAATGTGGAAATGCTGGGAAATAAAATGATACTTTTAGATCCCTTTGTTACGAAGGAGTTAACAGAAGAAAACCCCTTAATGATGCTTATTTATTATCGTCGACACATTGCCAGATCGGCCAGATGATAGGTCACAAACCTCAAATTACGGTAGAGAACGTGTTAAAAGACAGAATATAGAATTCCATATTTTCATAGACATCCGCAGTCTATCAGTGACCGCGTTTACACGTACGACGATTATTATTTATTGCTTCTCTGCCAAACGCGTTTTTATTTCAATACGTCCTTTTCGCAGCTTGATCGATTTTTATTATTCTATTTAATCGTGTATTGTACATGGCGTAAAATAAAAATGAAATGCGGTTAAACGCGCCTGTTCATGAGAAAGAGATTTACGACGTACATATATTTGCAATCATTGTTGATGTTCGTCGAAAAGTGAAACCGTTGATCGGTTCCGCTCGTAATTAACTATTGTAAGAAAGTTTTCAGTATCGCGTATTTTTCCGCTCTCCTTTCTTCGTTGCGTTAACGATTGAAAAATTCTAGTTGCGTGTAGCCGAAGAAAGGAAGAGAAGAAATGAAGTAACGCGAGTTTGTTTTAAATGCGCGAATGATTCGAGTGTTTGCCTGTACGAGTGCCTGTATTATTTTTTAATACACATATCCGCGTATTTTTCCTAGATCGCCGGGGCAGAAAACACAGATATTTATGAAATTACGCTGCGATAATAGTTGGGGTGACGGATGTGTTTGGATTACCAAGAGTAAGAGTGAGAGAGAAAGGAGGCAAACCTTTATTTTCATTCATTGTACGCAGCTGCAATGTATGTACGGTACAGAGTGTAATATAAAGTTGTAAGTAATAGAAGATCCTGAATAATTTACTCGCGTGTCCTCACAGTTTCGGAACAAGCGAAATGAGAGTGAATCTCGAAGAAAGGAGCTTACCTATCTACTTTCGTGCAACGAAATCTTCTCTTACAGGTGTATGTTACAGGTTTACACGCTCGCGTATATGCACGTTAAACATTCATATGTATACTGTGCGTGGAGAGCAGAGAAAAAAAAATATCATCCTTTTGAAAATTCCATCCTCGTTCGTTTTGTTTTTTTTTTTTCTTTAAAATGGAAACATTCCATCGATAGACTAGGGAAGCGTTAACAAGGCCGATCAACACCATCGGAATTAAAACTGTTAAGGCTTCCTTGTACGCTTAATCCCTCGCGATTTAAGCTATCAATTTTCACTCGTGTTATATCGAAACTGTCAACTTTAATCCTCCCATCCGAACAAAATTATAAATTCTCCCCTTTCACTTTTCAAAAATAGAGTTCTGAAATGATCTAAGTATGACGTTGCTCATACTTGAAAAATTGTCCATCTGTCCGAGTTAAGTAGCAAAAAAAAATTTGAGAAAGGAGGAGAAAGTTTGACAACTTTAAAAACAAACTTTCTTTGTTACTGCTGAGCCTACGAATATCCACCTGAATTACTCCTCTCGAGGGAGAGAACCAGGGACAGCTACGAAACAACGTTTCGAAAAGTCAGTGATGTAAATCACCGTGGACGTATCTTCCTTCTAAGCAACCAAGTCCTTTCTCTCTTCTCGGTAATCGATTACGAAATCACTGAACCCCCATAAACGTTCGATTCGCAAATACACGTTAATGCTCTCGAAGATAGGTCGTTTAAAAATTCGAAACAAACACGACAAAATTTCCGATCCTTTCGAACCTTTTTGTAAGTTTCCGAACAATACCATCTCTATCAAATTTGAACGTACTTCCGGATCGTCATTAATTTAAAAAGCAGACCGGGTTTCAGCCCGGATGTTCAGAGCATTGCCTCTTCAAATGGTAAATCATGATTTCCCTACTTCTCCAAATCTTTCCAAAACACGATTTACACCCGTTTCAGCAAAAAAAATCAAACTTCAACGATATTTCTCTTCCTTATACGTATGTAGTCGTTTTCGATCAAATTGACTACATACTTGCTAACGATCAACCAAGAGAACAACGACCCTTAGATTTCATCTTCGAAGCGTGCTCGACTCCGATCGATGATCGCGATCACTCGGGAACAGAACGAAAGGGATCGCTCGATCAGCTACCGGGCACGGAATGCGGTGGGTTTGGTACGAAAGCACGGAATAAAAGGGTAAAATGTCAACGCGACTGTTCTACCTACGAAAGAGCAAACGCATCCTATTAGCGGTGCAGAGATCGCATTGTTTGCCCGTGTGCCCTTAAAAGAGCTAAATCTCATCCATCGTAACGACGTTGGCCTTTGAATCGCGTGGCAAACGGATGGCGATAAATCGAAACGTCTTCGCGCAGCTGGCAAGAAAAATAATTGTGAACGCGACAAGCGCACCACTGTCCCAGCTGGAGATAAAACTATTCTACCGTTGTGGATGAAACGTCTTTACGTTCTTCCGTGGGATTTCTATCGTGTATACAGATACTAATAACACCAGTGTCAAGATGCGTACACGGATCAGATAATAAATTTCTTTGCCAATTTGACACGACGCTTAGACGCGGCTATACGTATTACCCTGACGATCTTAATTTGCAGCTTCTAGTATCTAGACACTTTTCAACTTCATAAATAAAATTATTCAATCCTTTTGATTCCGTAATTGCTTGTCCATCATGTACGTTAGATTCATAATCTTGTTACTTCACGATCCAAAGACGCTTCTACAAAGAGTCCCTTAAATTCCATTGGCTTGAATTTCATCCAGGCTATAAGTACTCCAAAATAAGACCCTAGATATTGAAAAAACGCTACAAATGTATTTTTATTAACATTTTAGCTACCAGTGTCACATGTACCGGTAACGGTAATTGTCATAGAATAAAAAGTTAAGAAAAACAAAAGTAGAAAACTCCGCTTATAGTTTGGGAATCAACAGCGTCCGGATAGTGAACGCGAAGTTTATCTGATGCTTCGTGAGGATCGTCGATTTCAGAGGGGGGAAAAAAGTCGTCCTTGTACACATAGTCGTGTACGCTGACGGTATATATAAAAGGTGGCAGAGCTGAAGGAGCACAGATGTTAGCGGCTTCTGAAATCCATCGATACAACCGTCGCGAATCGAAAAGTCGCGTGCGTGTGCCTCTCGAGGGATGCCATTTCAAGTGTCGTCGGTGTGACTTGATCTCTAACGACGATGACCTCTCCGGAAACTGTGTTTCGATCGCTGGTACGTTTACAATCCGACTCCGGATCGCCAACGTGCCGTGTAACAACTTGAACTTTTCCGATCCTCGAGCGAATAAGGGATGCAAACGAGTCGCATCGAAAGATGTTTCACTTTCGTTTCGTTCGAGCGAAGAGTAGCCAGTTCGAAGGGTCAATTAAATAGAAAGTGTCCTTTCGATTCAGTTACGTAGACCGATGTAATGCGCGCAGAAAAAGATGATTAGATTACGCTTTTACCGTATGCGTACTAGCATCGGTCGTGAGGTCACCGAACGTCGTTGATTACCTCAGGCGAAAACCTCGCTTTTCCCGCGTCGAAAGGATCGCCTGAAATTATATTTCAAACAGTTATCGTGACTCGTGACACGCGCTATAGAAAGTTCAGCCTCAACTTTTATCATCTGATCGTTACGCGCTTGGTGTCTATAGATCCTCTGGCTGGTGGTTCTCGGCAGCTGGTGGTGTTGTGCCGGCGAGAAGCTATCGCCAAATCAAAAAGCGCCTCAGTTTGCCCGTGGTTCCGGTGGATTGATTCTTGATACACCGTACGATGATAATAAGGCCAGAAAAACACCGGTTTCGAGTGGAAACGTAGTACAGGACGGAGTACAGAGAGATGAGACAGAAATGCTGAAACTCGTGGATGGTGAACTGGTACGAACTGTAAAAGGAAGCTTCTCTTACAATAGTCCTGAGGGCCTTCCAATTTCCGTCAAGTTAGTTGCAGCTTGTTCCTTTGAACGGTGTTTATTTTCAGCGAAAAACACCTGATTTTTAACTTATTCTTTTGAAGGTACGAAGCAGATGAGAATGGAAATAGAGCCAGTTTCAAGTTTGGTACCGGTGAAACTGGTGCTATCGGTGCGGGTCCTTCGACTCGTCCTGGACAAAAACAAAATGGTAATCGTGGTGGTCAAACCCAACAAGGATCAAAGGGATCAAAAGGTAGCTCGTACCTACCACCCAATGATGCAAACAGAAGTTACTTACCGCCAAAATAAAATTTTCATTGTTATTCCAACCAAAGCTTCAGCCTAGCTTTAGATGCTCTGATTTTTCAGAAACATTACCTCCTTGAAATCGTAACAAAAGGTACGTCTCTGTTTTTCGCAATTTTCCGGAATTCTTCGACATTGTATGTTCTCGTATAGTTGTACATGTTAATCTTCCTTTGATAAGTTCACAATATTTATCGATCGTAACACTCTCCAACAGAGCACTCGAACTATTCAATGATTCGTAAACCGATTCGCATATCAGCTTTGTAGAAACGCGATTGTTATTAGCGTATCATTCAATGTTCTCTCTCCTTTTTCAAAGGGACTGTTTAGCATTCGAGTAACTAGAAAATAATAGGCAGACTAGTTGGTTTCACTAGTTGCTACATTAACTTTTTATAAAGTAAAAAAATAAAATATATTTTTCCATAGACAGCCGTATTAATTTTACAACCTTCTACTCATTGTCAGTCTAATAAGTACACAATCTTGTTTTTATCTTTTCCCTTTTGTTTCTTCCCACCGAGTGAGAAACAGAACAAAAATGTTTTCCAATGGAATCAAAGTATGCTACTGAAATACTGTTCTGGCATATATTAGTTTTCAGTATTTTGAATCGTAAAAAACATTTATTTTCATGTAATTTGATATTTTTACAAAGCAACAAAATACTTGATAGATATCGTAATTCTGTTAATATTCATCTTTCAGAACCACGGTAAGTGGTATAACCAAACGGGCTCAATAGTACCGGTATGTGATAGTGACCGGCAGGATTTTTTACATCAAAAACGATCTCAATGAACGGGTACATTGTTTCTATTCTTCTCAATGTAAAATACTTGTCGACGTCAAAATGAATCTTGTAACGTCCGGCCGTGAAATGTTTCATGTTATCCACTAAATCTACACATCTGCCATTTGGACTGGTATTGCTAAAAACACGAATCAATTTTGTATTTTTATTCCTTTATGAAAATAATATTCATTCCAAGAAATGAATATAATGGAAGAAACGATATTTTATTTAAATGATACCTTTCGTTCAAGAAAGTCCAACGACCATCCATCAACTTATACAGACTGACTTGCAAACCTCCCACTGGTAGACCTTTACTCGTATCCATAACATGAGTAGAAATACGGGGCTTCTTAATTAGAGGGGACTTAAAATTCTTTAAAAGCACATGCTGAAATAAATTACGACGCTTAGAAACCCCTCTTATAAATATTTTATTCGTTTAAAGATATATGAAAGCAAAAAAATTGGCATACTTTTTTTACATTTTGATAACTAGTACTTGCTACAGCCATTTGATCCTTATTTATCTGGACGCCCTTCGTGGCGTCCTCTACTTGATTAGCTGCAATTGTAGGTTTTTTATCAGCCATGATCAACGTAGGAAGTTTATTCTTTAATTTACTCAAGACGTATTGAGTACCAGGTTGGAATGTGCCGCCTGTTAAAGTTAAAGTTTTACCACCCGACGTCAAAGTAATCGTTTTATTTTGTGCGGGCGCAATAGGGATCGTATTCATAGGCTGAAGCACACCTATCGTATTAGACGTAGGTGCGGTCGAAGTGTTTATTTGATAAGTAGTACCTAAAATAGGTAATGGACACGCCATTACTATTCCCGAATCTCCGTGCTGTTTACATTCGTCTTGCTAAAACATCAATAGTAACTGTAATTTTGAACGTGTACTTTTAGCAAATTATAGAAAACGTTAATTATATTATGTATTATATCTACCAATAATTTCCCAGTTTTTTTATCTAATTTATTGTCGCCTCGTCGAACCGCTCTTTCATTTTCACGGGATTCTTTCAAGGATTCTTCCTTAGTAGAATCTTCTGTGTCAGGAAGAATTGACATAACTTCCATCTCAGGATTGCTTTGGTCTTCTGATTCGACAACCATTTCCAACTGTACAGTATCTTGATTATCTGCTTCTTCTAAATATTCACTTTGCATATGATCCATCGCTTCGGTCAAAGAATCCTCACACTGCTTCTGGGCATTTGGTCGTTAATATTACAAATTCTCAAATGAAGTACATTATTTATGATAACTTACCACTCTTTCTATTTTAATCTTTTTCATAGAATGCTTGACATCTTCTTCGTCTGAAGGTACTTGAATATGCGTTACTTCTTCCTCCTCCTCCTCTTCTTCTTCCTCTTCAATTTTACCACCAACATCTTCGTTTGGATCCTTGATTTGTGTTTCATCCAGTTCATCGTCTGTTTCTAATCTTTCAACAACGTATTCTACCTCATCCTCATTTTCTTCTATTTCTGTTTTAGCATACTCAACAGCCTAATATCCAAATGTTTGCTTGAATGATGGGGATAAATTTGCATATATATATAAAAAAAAAAAAAAAAACAATACAAACCTCAATTTCGTCAACCTCTTCTACTTCAACATCCTCTCCCATACTTGCATTTCGAGCTGCAGCCTTCTTTTTTTCTTCCGCTTCGTGCAATAAGGCTGCACGTTGATGCTTCATCGTACATGTGTGTTTTAATAAAGAAAGACGATGCGCATGAAGATTTTTTTTGCAATATAAACAATAAGCACGTGTCGGTTGAAACGGTACAGATGTCAACCATCCTATGGAAAAACATCGCGTCAAACAATATATCTATTTACAATTTCCCGCCTATTATTTGTTCTTTCGACCGATCACGCCACGATACCTTAAATACATTATTTCACTAAATACATTTTAACCGTATGGTGATATCTACATTCGTTATAATATATAGTTACCCGTGGTAAGTTTACTGGTAACTTATTAAAGCTAGTAATATGGTTACATAGTATTATAACAGTATTCAGTAATGTTATATTCAGCGCTACAGACGGCTTCGTCTTTCTCGCATAAATCGAAATAATAAAAGTTCGAGCAAAACACAACGTGGTTGATGATATATTCAACGTTTACTAATATTCTTAAATCACATTTCGTATAATAATATACACATAATGGCTAAGTAAATCTGAAGGGAAAAAGAGAAGTATCTTGTTTACTGGAAAACATCTGATATCATAAAAGGTATCCACTGATGGTCAAATACATGTGACAGAAAGAAAACTCAATGTTAGGCGGTAAGACTTCTCTAAAAATAATTTACTTGCATGAATCGAAAGCGTCATTGGTTAAGACCGTGACGAAGCATAGCAGTCACGACTGGCGTATACATGTGTATATCCAGCGTGGCACAGTACATGTTACAATCTTGTGAGGATACAATTTGCCTGTTGTTAAAAACAAGCTATCTTGGAAGTTGCATTGAACGATAACAAGGTATACCTTTAAAATCGGGCATTTGTTCCCATTCTTTGCGATATCGTTGTGTATAGACACGCGTCTTAGCATGGCTGATTTTCCCCGTTGGGGTAAGACGCTGACCCGTTGCTGTTAGGAAACTAGTGTTTAACACCGTTTCGCTCTTTGTAATTATTGGCGATTGCCACTTCTGCTCCATTCTCTCTAAACCAAGACCGATTCGAAATCGCCCGGATCTCAAAATACCCAAAATCGTAACACAAAATCACTAAATAGTTTTTTCCACGATAAAAAGGGGAGGGGGCACAAGACGAGCACCGAGATCCTCGCCTAGCCTAGTACCGAAGTTAACTCCCTAGCAATGGCGGACAACTGCAACGCTGCAATGATGCACCCCCTAACCCCTCTTCTCGTCACTATCGCAATCGCGAAACGCAATTTTACACTGACGTACAAACAGGGATTGCACCCCTCTTTACTTGTCTCTTGTTTCTTCTACTAAAACTGAATTTCTTTTAGTTTTTGATATAACATTTCTCTCTAAATTTTCAAATAACATTTTTTCCTTTCTTTTTTCTCTTAACATACTATACATCTTTAGAAAAGTAAAGTAACGATTTTTGTAATCGTAAACTCAGAATGCATATACGTTACTGTTTCGAGCAATGCATACGTAATAATTGGTCGAATCGATATGCGCGCGCACTCAAGCAGATACTCCATATTAGGCGGGGAAAAATTTTAATTGGTTATACACAGGAAAAGTACAAAATACTTCGTGTTAGAAATGAAATACGAAATATCTGTTACCTATTTATTGCATACATTAAACGTTTTAAAATATGATGATATAAAATTAAACAAGATAATTTTATATTATATTTTTGGGAAGGTCTTAAGCGCCACCTAGATGGCCCTGAATTAATGAATCAATAACAGCGCCCTCTTTACCGAATAAATGTAAAACGACTACAGATACAGGTTCTGATTTATCAATCCATCCACCGGCGGTCGGTGAATACATAGATGGCGCTGAAATCGAAATTTGAAAACGAAGCCATGTCCAGTTTTATCGCATCTGTAGTTGCTTCAAGTTTAAACGACTCTAGGAAAATTCAACGCCCGCAATTCACCGTCAGCAATTCACCGCCACCTCAATTCATCGCGTCCGCAATTCACCGCCAGCAATTAATCGCTGGCAATTTAACACAACCGTCTTCGCTGTAGTAGCTGCCTTCGTCAGTTGTCGAAAAGTCAGTAACGCAGCGAGGGTTCCAGCCTGACTATCTATAGGGTGGTCTATTTAAAATGTCGGAGATATAACGACTGTCGTAATGTTGTTTGCGGCCGTAGATTTATCTGGCCTAACCTAACCTAACTAGAAATCTTAAATATAAATCAAATTTGTTTAATTAAAGAAGTTAAACAAAATTTCTTGAAAATGAATTTTATAAGGGACATCCTATACATACGGAAACCCGATTTCTAAATTTCATGTAGATCAGTGACCAGGGACATTCGGAACTATAGCCATTCATAGAACTCCAAAAATATGCTTAAATCAAAAATAACTTTTTATGATTTGACCAAACACATCTCGGCAGTGAACTGCGGATGCGATGAATTGACGCGGCGGTGAATTGCGGGCGATGAATTTTCCGGATCCCGTTTAAACTTACCTTACTCCTATGGATAAGAAAAACGAATGATTATTAGCGACCCCCTGTGGCTCGGGGGGAGTAGAATACGGCCACGGTATCCCCTGCCTGTCGTAAGAGGCGACTAAAAGGGGGATGTAAAGGAGATTCCACGAAAACTGTATTGCGAATAAGAGCGAGACACAAAAGTATAGCATAGTGGACAGGATCAGAGACTCAAAAGTATAGGAACACAAAACAAATACGGCACGTGACCTCTTCGATTCGGGACGTCGGTATTACAGTAGTTTTTTCGTTGGGCCTGGTGGAGCCACTAGCGTGTTCTGTTACGAACTTGAAAGAATTGAATAGTGTAGTTCCGTAAACCCATGTTTAGACCCATTTTTGCCAGTAATGTCAAAGCGTTACTATTACCCGTGTCTACCCCTGCGTGGTGATGCGAGCGTCGAAAACTTTACCGACAGTCCCTAGAAAAATCCCTAGACGCGAGTTTTCAGATTACGTCCTCATTTCTAAACAGAATGTAAAAAAATTTGAGGGACGTATTCAGGAGGTTCTAAAGAATATTTGTCTGGTCCTTATATTATCCAAATCGTCAAAAACTTATAAAATATTGAAATTGCTGTCTGTCAACGGTCAAGAAAATGGCGGATCAGACTCACCTGCATTGATTTATTCGTAATATAAACTATGGGCGTCCGCAAATCTGACACCGTTGGATGCAACGTATTGGACGGGCGGGTAGCGCTCTCAGCGAAGGGGTGCACCCTGTCTTAGGCGGGGTGGATGGTATGTAGCGTCGGGCGCAAGTCCAGGGGGCCCGAAAACCTCCGTTGCCAGCTGATATTAGTAGTACACCATTTTTGCGTTATAGCTGCTCAATTTTGCTTTTCAGTATTTGCTCTTCAAGCATTGTATAAAGCTCTTCTTTCGTGCTTCATATTCATTCTCTCACGTTCACGGTTTTCTGTCATCCTCCAAATTCTCTGACTATATACCCCACCTCCCTGGGGGGGGGGGCAGCCCATATACTAAATCGGAGCCGTGAAATTTCGCCAATATTCTTACTTTTAATAAAGTGAGAATATCATCTTTAGTTTTTACTAATCATACGTTTTAGCTTAGGCATTTCAGCACACATAAAGAAAACTGGTAGGTGAAAATACCTTTGGCCTTGTTCATTTTTATGCCCAAAGCTCATTCGGGTACTTAGATGTACTCGCGTGGGTGGAGGGCGGTGGACAAGGTTTAGTTTTAAGTGCAATACATTTTGGCGCATGACAAATATTGTGAACCAATAGTGAACCACGATATAAGTTCTACATGTGTGTGTGTGATTAGGATGTGGAATTTGTATCGTTTATTAACAATCTTAACTTACTATAACATTACACAATACTTATCGAGAATAAATTGAAAAATTTTTACATTAGATATTGAATCGAATACGTCAATGAAATGTGTTACTTTAGCATAATGTTCACTATTATTTGTCAGTCGATTTCAGCAAAAAGGTACGATTTTATTAGAGTGTGAAAGTTGAATTGAACTCGGGTGTCGGAGGCGTCCCGGGACGTTCTCCCTAGGTGTAGGCATTTTTGCACGCGGGTGGTTGTATGAGAACCGTGGAGTGAACTTTTGTGAGAATGCTTTTTGCCCTTTTTTAAATATAGCGATAGGCAGGCAGGTAGTTTACTTCTGGTGTGATTGAGTTTAGTTTATAAGTAGGCAAGCTTTCATGTTTTCCTTCGTATTCTCCTCTAATACGTGAGAAGCTTGTATCTGGAGTTTATATATTTTTAATTGGGAAACAATAGTTTAAATTCAGAAAAGTATTTTCGGGATTGCAATATTACCATATAGAACGTATAACTGTAGTAATTTTATAGTTCCTGAAAATGACTAATTACCTCCTTCTTTTCGAAGTCGGTTAAAAATAAAATTTTAAAAAAATCACAAAATATGGAATTTAGAAAGAACGAAGTTGTTTGATACGCAATGGTAGAAAGAAATCAACCCTGGCGAAGATATTTCAAACAGAGACGTTGTACATTGGAAAGGCCATGACTTTATCCATGACTCTGGTCAGGCTCCAGATCTCGCTCTTGTCCACAGAACACATAATTTCTGCTTTTCATTTGATAGAAATTCGCTACGTTGACTAACAAATATTTTTTTATAACAATTTTCGAGAGGAATTCATTATTGAATGAAAGTAAAAATTTGCATAAATGGAGGGTGGATGGGATGAGGTAGGTTATTATTTGATGACTAAACTGTATCATTATTTCTATGGTACATTTATTAATTATGCAATTTTACGGAAAGAAAATTAATAATAATGAATACATGGTCAGTATTGTTTAATTATGTACTTATACATATAGCTATCGTAGTATATACGTGTCATTTAGGTGCATGCGAAAGGTGATGTAGTATAACATGCCGTTAGTTGATAGCATGCGATAATTGAGGTGGCGCTTAAATCAGTTTCTGTTCGGCCTAATTTTTGATGAAACGTTGACTGTTTTACCGATGCGGAATTCGAAGTTCGGCCTCCATGTGCTTCCATGCTAGCATCGCCTTAATTAAAATGGATAGCGATAGTGTACAAATAAAGTTAGGTGAACGAGACGATATTTCAGATAGTAAAAAATGTAAATGTGACTGTATTGAAGAAAACATGCAAAATTTAAGAAATTGTGTAACTATTGAAAACACTGTTGAAGCAAATTATGCTAATATAAATCAGCCAGTAGGGGATACAACAAATAGTTTTTATAATTTATCTGGTATTTGTAAAACAAAATATGAAGAAATGTGCCAGGAGCACAATGTACATTATCAAAATAAAATTCATAAAATACATAAATTAACACCAATTAATGAACAAAATGAAGATTGCAAAGACAGCATCACAGATCTGTGTTATCATGGCTGTAAAAATGGATGCTCAGCAACTGTACCAACACCTCAAGAAGTTAGTGAGAAAGTATTTAAAGAAAATTGGTTGCAGAAGTTAGAAGATATAAAACAAAAAGAAACAGTATTGAGAAATAAAGAAATAACTTTACAAAATCGTGAAAAAGCATTACTTAAAAAGGAAAGAGAAACCAAAATTTTGGAATCTCTTTGGAAACATAAATTAAAACAACTAGATTTATATTTTAAAGAGAACAAAGACTTACAATATTTACTTACAGATTATAGTACACAAAAAAATAATTCAGAGTCAGCAAATAATATGCATTCTAATAAACTACATAAAGAGGAAGTTTGTATAAATGATAATTTCCCAGAAAACATAGATAGTATAGATGTAAACGAACAAAATTTTCGTACACAAAATAGTTCAACACAACATTTATTATATAATAAAACTGAACAGTTCAAAAAACATACAGATAACATAGGGATCATGTATAAGGGTCTACATCATGAAAAAATTAACATTTTAAGTTCTTCTTGTCTTCCAATTAACAATGTATCTGTAGCAAAAAAAGGAAAAAATCAATCAGATTTAAGAAGTTCAATAGCTGCAAAGTCATCTTACTCTAAATCTACCTATAGAGATAATAATAAAACAAAAAAGTCTTCTAAAATAGATTATAATGATTTAGATACTACATTATCTGCTGATATAGGTGATTCGTCCTTTGTGCAAACTTCTCAAAAATTTAATCCTGAGATATATAGAAAACCATACATGTTCACACGTTCAGCCAGTGAACGTCATATAAAATATATAAATCATAAAAGTAATCCAAATCTTGAAGCTCAGAATTTAAATTATCCAGATGAAAAGTCTGAAACACTTACTGGAATAGCACAAGGCAAGGTGTTAGAAAGAGTTACTAAAAATATTGTTGCCTCAAGAGATAGAAGTACAAAATTTCAACATTATGGTTATATGGATCAAAACATGGATTCTGTAAATAAGATGTGCAGAGTAGAAAATGAGAGAATATACTCGTATCTCAATTTGGAAACTGGCAATAAATTATGTTCATGTCAAAAATTGAATAAAGATTTGAAAGATAGACCAGTATCTTGGAATGAAGAAACAAATGAATGGCTTCAAAAAAAAAGAAAGGCTTATAATATGATGATGAATAAAACACATACAGAAAATAAAGAAAACTTTGAGTATAATACTAAAATGAATAGTAAATTAGAAACAGGTGTTAAAAAGAAAGATATTAAAAATAGAATATTTACTATATTTCGTTAATTTAACAGTAGAAAAAAAATATTTGTGTTCATGCAATGTATTCATGTAAAGAGAATTGTATAAGCCTCTGATTTTAAAAGTAAATTCATAGATTACACAAGATATAATTTTCAATAAAATAACTCAACATAGAAAATTCTACAACATTATAGTTTTTGTAAGTTTATTGTTTAATGTAAATTACATATATATACAAGAAAATTGTATTGCTTACTTAAATTACTAATTCATCAAGAATAAATCATGGCCAAGATGGAGGTTCTCCAGGTTTTAATTCTCTTCCAAATAAAGCTGATTTATCTCGATAACTTGTTAGTCTTTCAGTTTCCAGCCTATTCACCACCCATCCAAGTGAGTATCCAGCTACCATGCAAGCAACCAAGTTAAGATATGCTTTTGTAAGTCCTGCCATTTTAGTTCTTTAATTGCAATTCTTGTTCAGCTAACTGTTTCTTCCACAATCTAGTATGATTCCAATCTGCATAAATGGTAACTGCAGTGAATGTAGGAAAAAATATTACTGCCCAATACCGTTTAATTATTCTTCGGATGCTAAGTGCAGCCATTAAACTAAAATACAAAACAGATATTAACAAACATATTGACTTATAACCTATGTTTATGTTAATATGTTACTCTATGTCACATGAAATGAAAATTCATTTCCTTATAGGTTTCAGAAAGTTTATTAAAATATTTAGAACACCCATACTATGATTATGAATGATATAAAATGAAAATACCATTATTTCGTACATAAGTTTTTATATTCTCTGACTTCAAGTTAACTTTAAATAAGTACACGTACTGAATTCGTATAAATGTCATACACGATTTTAATTGAACAAATTTTTTAACCGTGAGTATTTGTCTTAAACTTTTAATAGAAAAATTTTTTTAAGGATCTAACAAACCTGATACACAGAATTGTAAATTACATGACGTAACATGATAAGCTCCATCAGTGACTACAGAGGTAAAAGATTGGACATGCCTTTGTTTTTGAGGGGTTATGATTTATGGGGCCCCAGACACCCCAAGCCACCGGCCACTGCGCCATCTATATAAAAACGGCGTAAACTATTCGTTAACTTACCGACTGTCAGAAGTTCAGTCGATAAGTCGGTAATTTATTGGATAGTTTTCGCCTCTTTCGTATAGATGGCGCAGTGATCAAACTTTAAAAAACACAATTCTAGGCGGTCTTCTCAAAATATAAGTTCGTCAAATAATTATTCTAATAATTTTTCGGTCTTGTAATATATAAAACAACACCAGCATTAGATAATATCAAATAAAAATATTAAAAGTAATAATAATGTCGTTTGTTATTTTGAACACTGCTTATATTTATTACTTATGTACAATATTTCATGTACGGTATTATAAACATATTATTATACCAAAAACTTTTAAGACAAACAAAATTTGTTGAATAATCAGAGAACTAAGATCACAAAACTTCATTTTAAAAAACTATACATATACATATTATATTAACCAAAGCATACACTACTTTAAGTCTGAAACCCTTTAATTTAATACTATATTTTTGGAAGATCATCTTGAGAAATTATTACAACTCTTGATTTATATAGAATTTCTTTTACTGGAATGCAAATAATGATAAATTCATTGTTGAAATACTTTAGTTACATTACATGTGTATACATTGGCTGAATTATTACCATTAACGTAATAAAAATACATAATTTCCTTTCTTGTTTGTATTGCATCGTTGCACGAGCATACATTTAACGAAATAATAGGCACTGCACATAAGTACCTTTGCCTTATCGAACGAAGAAGCAAAAGCACCAGTTCTTTATGAAATGTTATTCACGGCGATGTTTCTTTACGGAGCCTTGTATCAATATTATATAAAACGTTACAATACATGTGTACATGTATTAGAATGTACATATACACACACATCGGTACATAATATTTTTGAGAGACCAGGTATCGAGCAATCGAGTGAAAGTTGATCTGTCTTGGAGTTTATGGATATTCCATTTATGTACAAATTGTACTCTGTCTACCTCATCATGCAATATATCAAATCCACAACATAAAGAATCTGCGATTGTAATTGATTTACATTTGCAATTACGTTTCATGTTCATTACATATGTATAAATAACAATCTAAAGAATCTCTTCGATAACAATATTCATCGAGAAGTTTGGAAAATTGTAATTTCACATATATGTATATATAATCAAAATGTTGGCAATCTGGGAACATGCGCATATACTTCAAATAATATACTAATCGTAGTTGAGCGTCGGTTAGTCTTTTACTTTTCATTCCGTATTTGTACCCTGCTGTAAACTGTTACCTAGACGCCAACGCAATGAAGCACAATTGATGTGATCTAATGAAAATATAGGGACGTAATTATATATATGTATTCTGATCATTCGTACAAATTTATACTGATATGATTTTTTTTTATTCTATTGCAATATCATACTCAAGAAACAATTTTTCATTTGGCATCTGTTGGTGGTAACACAGCTTCCGATGACGCATTTTTTACACTACAGGTAACTCTGTGATCGTTCGAAGATTTTTCATTCTGCATCGTAGCTGACACAAGTTCGGTAGGCTTTACATTATCTTCACCTTTATTTTCACTAAAGTATACAATAGAAACTGTATTTTTCATTACATAATAATATATATATATACCTTATTATATTTACCTGCTATCTACATTTTCGCTTGGATTTGCATTTTTATCAGCAGTACACTCAGAATATAGATTATCCTCAGTATTTTGATGATTTATATTCGTTTGTATACGCGATGTAGTACTATCATTAGAATCTTCAATCTTTATATCATTTGTACTAATAGCTTCTACTGCTATTTCATTTCCAGATATAGTTTCAATTTTATTTTGATCCATTGTTATATCCTGTGTTCTTTCTTTGCTTTCATCACATACTTTATTATCTACTATCACAGTATTTTCCATGCTGACAGTATTTTCAAAATTATCAAAATTTGCCCATCCCGTAGATTCAACTGGTTCTGATGGTGCAACATCCCATGGATTCACTTCGGGAAGTGCAGTACCAGTAGATGGTGGTTCAGTTGGACCCCAAACTAAGATTAAAAATTTTATCATGATATTATAGGGAATTCCAAATTACTTTGAATTAAATACAATTCTTACAAAATTTTTGTACAATTGATAATCTATTTCATGAAAGAAACTAGAAATTATTGAAACGTATAAAAGCTGTTGAAAATAAAAACATACATTTAGTCAAATCAATTTCCATATGCATATGATCTGGATCTTCCTCATCTTCATCGGACGAATTAGAATCATTATGCTGTTGCTTTGTTGGCCAGTCTCGTTTGTCCACCACAGTTTGAAAAGTAAGTTCTCCTTCATCACCCCACTCTACTCCTGTACTACAGTCCTCCAAGCCTGCCTTTTGTTTTTGCTGACATATCTACATAAATGTAATAATAATTTTCGAATTTGAAACAGACTGAAATGAACAAATAAGAAAATAATCCTTGTTAATATTGCTTGTACCTTATTGAACATGTCTTCCCTTTTGTCGAGATCTTCCTCACTGAGAGTAAAGGCCAATGTTGTTAATTGGACAACCGAGTTACTATAATAGCATTTTTGTATAAAAAAAAAGGGTGTTGCAAAAATACGACGTTACATTATATTCTTTCAGTACACTGTTACTTTCCTAGTTTTTTTTTTCAACTGTTTGCAATACCTAATATCAACATCTAAGTGATCTTTTACTTTACAATCATAGATCAATGGATACTTTGAAATGCACGCAAATTGCGTAAATATTAGTAATAAAGTACATGTCAAAATGTGTATTAGAGTACTTACTGAAGGGCGTCATCGCCGTCATTAAATTGATCATCGTGAAATCCAAAATTTTCAATGAACTGCGATGTCATATGTTGTCCCACATAATTGGTATAAAACTATTCGTGTAATAAAATATTTTAATTTTCAAAACTATCTATAAAAACTATTTCATAAGTCTATAACAAAGTACTAACTTGTTCAACTCGTTGAACTTGAAGAAATTCTTCTTGTGAATAAGAGCTGTATTCATCGGGATTTTCACTAGACTTTGTCATAAATGGTTGAGCCATCTCATCCTGAAGAGTTTAAATTATGATTCAAATAATATTAAAATATCCCAGCACTAAACTAAAAATACGTAAGTTTTTATAAGAATTTAAATATACCAAAAAGATTTGATGAGTCTTATTAATTTTTGACAATTTTGCATTTACAAGATCATCCCATTTATCAAGACATTCTGATGATAAATTATCTTTCAAAAATTTATCTAAACTTTCACTGTCTTCACGTTGATTAACAATGTTATTTGCAATGTTTATTAAATGGCCCATGTATCCTTGTCTAATTCCATTTTCCGCACTTCTAAAAGATGGTAATAATTTTTTTAATAAAAATATTATATTCTGATCAAATATGAACTTAAGAATATCTTTTAACAATTACTATTTAACATACTGTTTACTATCATTTTTGTCCCATGCTTCTAATATTCGATCTATTAATCTGCATTTGACAAATATCTAAAAATTAATTTAATTAAATTATTTAAAATCGTATTTTTTATGCACAATCATCATATCTTTCTTTTGTGCACGTTGATACTTACATTATTATAAACAATGTTATTTGTATCCTTAAAATCACAATTAATAGCTAAAGCCAGGCACAGTTGTACTTGAGTATGTAGAAAATTGTTCCATGTATATTTAAAAAATAAATCCTTAAGAAATATAAAATAAAGCTTATACTTTTAACACTGTCAATTATCGATTTTAATTCCGTACATTTTACTTACCAATAATGTTTGGAATGTTCCTAATTCTACTAAAGACTCATATATTTTTACATTATCAGTTGTCATGAGTGTTGTAAATAATTTTGCAACATGTAAACGTGTATTACCTAATGGACATTCTAACACCCCAGCAGTTGTTTTGACAGGAGGTTTCTGCGGTATGAAAACATAATGTAAGTACTAGAATTTGTTACTTCTATATTATACAAAATGCAACATATGCAATATTTACATAAGGAGGATCTAATAAAAGTTTATGAAGTTGTTCTAAATAAGGCAGGGTTGCATTAGAAATTCTCAGACACTGTTCATCTGTAACTTCATCTCCATAACTATTACCATGAATGTCACCCTCATTTATTGCACTGAAAGTTGAAATATTATGCTTGATATACATATTTTCTTGCAGAAATAATTTTTCTTTTAAATAATTTATACCCTTACTTGTTAGCTTTTTGGCCTAAAAGTGTGAGGAGTACTTGAATTCCTCCAACAATACTACTTTCTAGTTTCTCTCCAGTTAAAATAGTCTCTAGCAACAGACTTACTGTATCTGCCCTGTATAGGAAAATATACGTTTCTTTAAATATCATATTGTTTATTTTTCCGTTTTTTTTTCATATACTTACGATTCGAGAGTATTTAAGATAGGGTCTGGATCGGTGCGTTTTGTAGATGTACGTTGATGTTCTCTTGAAACAGTTATCATATCACAAAGTAATTGTGCAGCATTTGCATGTTTACTTGACTCAGAATTTGAGGATAATAACTTTACCAATCTTTGTACTAATTGTTGACTATGTAACCACTATGAAAATATATGAAATTTAAATCAAATAGTGGGACAAAAGAGGAACATGTTACACAAACCCTACTATTATAAATACTTACATTTAATATATTTTGCCGCATATCAGTATCTTCCAGTTGAGTAACAAGTTTCAGTACTAAATCCATAATTGCAGAGGTTTCTAAGTGGTGTAAAAGTAAATCAACACATGTTTGACGACTTTTCAAAAAATCTAAAACCTTCAAACAAGTGTACTGATACGAATACCAGTTCTGAGGAAAAGATGGAAATATAGGATTACAGGTTCAGGTTATGAACAAAGGATTAGAAAAAGAATATTTAATGTTTAATGTTTGTAATATAATTATATCATAATCATTAATATTATTACTAAGTAAAACTATTTTTGTGTTATCTTTGTGATTAATACCACTAAATTTATACTCTTAACTTATAATCACCTGATCAGTTTTACGAGCAACAAGTACTCCGATGGTTTTACTAAAAAATGATGCCAATAAAGGATTTAGAGGTTGATCTGTATCAATAAAGGAATAAAGCTTTGCCAAAAGCGTGTCATCATCTAAAATACAGCTGATATTAATATTTTTTTTCTATAAAATTTAACTCCATGTTATCTGTATCATTCATAAATTATATTAATTTTCCATGATAACTTCAACATGCTATTATACCTGCTAGTTTCTCGTTTAAAGTTGGTACATCACAAGTTAGTAATTCACAAGCTATATTTGGATGCTTATAGCGCCAACGTTCTTCTATCTCTGCTGGTGGTTCTTCAGTTGTAAGAGTTACTAACTCTTCCATTACATCAGATCTTGTCAAACTAAAAGTAACATTATAGTAAAAATATTTAATGTTTATAGGAATAAATTCTTACATTACTTACTACTCAACAAGCTTTTTATTTTGGCTTTTGCATTCTTGTAAAATATCTTCTTGATCCATTAAATCATACAATGATACATTCTGAAAATATATAAATAAATTGCATATTTCACATTTATTTAAATTCATATAAATATTAGAAGTTATATTATTAAATTATATTTGATAAATTATTTGAAGCAACGGTTATTAAAAACATTCATACATCATGATATAATAATATTATTGTCCACTATAAATTATAAGTATATAATTTTCAATAATTTAAGAGTTGTACTATAAATCTTGGGAAACTTATAATGAAGATTAAAGTGAAAATGTGCAAACATTATTAGTAAAACCTTAAATACTTAAACCTTACAAGATATAGAAAAAAAATAGATAATACGCAGTTAGATAACACATTAAAAAATATATAGTATCTCTAAGTTGGATTCTTGACAAATTAGTTAAGTCTAGAAAATCCTAATCAGTAAAATAATATTTTTATCTAAAAAAAAGTTGATTTCTTCACCTCTTTGTTAAGCAGTGCCTCAATATGAGGTGATGACACATAATTATTTGCCCAAAACATGATTTATTCGAGTATTTTTCTTTACTCGACTACGATACAATTAATCAGATGTGAAAATAATCACAACATTGATGTGGTGACCACTAAAAAAATAACGTACTGCTTCGTAAGGCAGAAACCAACTAACATTGCATGAACACGAATAAGAACGGTAACGATGTTGCGAATAATTGTAGCTATAATCTCACAACGTCACTGTAAAATGTAATATAGTAAACAAAATGTTTTCTTAAAACAGAACAATTTTTAAAACGTCACTTTTCCTTCAAAAACTAGAAACTCAGAGTGACTGTTTCAACTTTGACGTTTGCCACAGAAGTAATACTGGATCGACTTTCAACCAAGGAAGTGTACCTGATTTCAGAACATTCTTACAATTGACAAACTTTAAGAGCTGTTTGCAATAAAAATGAATACAGATTTTAATTTTTGAAACTTATAACATTATAAGAACATGTAAAAATAAAAATTCACAGACTTGATTCCATATAGTAAAAACAAAAGAATATTAATTTTAATTTATTACAACATACTTTCAAAGCAATATCAGTAAAAAAAGTGACATCAAGTTTAAGGTGATGCTAGCGTGGAGGCCGAACTTCGAATTCCGCGTCGGTAAAACAGTCAACGTTTCATCGAAAATCGCATGCTATCAACTAACGGCATGCTATTCTACGTCACCTTTCGCATATACCTAAATGACACGAGTGTTTTCGCGTTATTAAAAGGAAGGATTTGCTGTATTTATCTTCTTAGATTATTGAATAAACTCATTAGGAGCATGAACGTGTTGATTCTATTATATCTGTGTGCCTCGCCTATTATTTTATCCTTTTATTTATTATTTCACCACTATTTTCGGGCATCGCGTGGACCACCCTCCCAAGTCATTTATTATTTTATCCTTCTTCATGGGCCTCGGCTCAACCTTTCCAGTTATTAATTATTTCTTTGTCTTTAAGGGCCTCACGAGGCTCAACCCTTTATCACTGCATCCCTTATATCACTACATTCCCTATATTCCTGCATCTCGTAAATGGCGGCATTCCTTATACTTCGGCATCCCTTACATTTTTGGATTCTCCCTGCATCTCTTGTGTATCCTTTCAACCCTTATAATAAATATATTATAAATATAATAATATATTATAAATAATATACTTATGGCCACTGGTTCGAGTAAAGGTAAGTGAAGTCTCGTGAAAAATAATTTTAAATTTAAATTTTTGCAAAATTTAGTTCCGCTTTCTTCCACCAGATGGCGCTGGTTCGACGCCGAAAATTTAGTTCACATTTTTGCCGCTAGGGGGCCAAAATTTTTGTAAGATTTAGTTCCTTTTTCTTCCACCAGAGGGCGCTGATTCGACGTCGAAAAATTAGTTCGCATTTTTGCCGCTAGGGGGGCCAAAATTTTTGCAAGGTTTGGTTCCTTTTTCTTCCGCCAGATGACGCTGATTCGGCGTTAAACCTTTAGTTCGCATTTTCCCCGCTAGAGGGCCAAAATTTTTGCATGATTTAGTTCCCTTTTTTACCGCCAGGAGGTGCTATGATGGCATGCTTACAAAAGGGATGCAAGAATGTAAAGGATACAAGAATGTAAAGGATGCAAGGATGTAAAGGATGCAAGGATGTAAGGGATGCAAGGATGTAAGGGATGCAAGGATGTAAAGGATGCAGTGATGTAAGGCATGTAGGGATGTAAGGAATGCAGGGATGTAGGGATATAAGGAATGCTGGGATGCAAGGAATGCAGAGATGTAAGGGATGCAGGAATGTAAGGAAAGCAGAGATTTAAAGGATTTTTTTTTTTAACGTGGGGAAATCTTGCATTAGACCCCCCACCTACCCCCGAGGAGGGCGGCGGGGGATTGTCAGATTCCTACTGACTAAAACCCTACGGCGACCGACACTGGCGTTAATCAAGTGGTCATCATTAAACGAATGTTAACACAAATAATCTTTACTTTGAATTTTTAACCAAAATTTGATGCTGGATCGATACTGTGCTACTATCATTGTAAAAGTACACACATAACATTTCTCTGCCTTTTTGTAATTAGTCAGAAATCATCCAAGTTCCTTTTTTCGGAACTATAAAATTACTATAGTTGTACTTTCTATTTTATGGTAATATTGCAATCCCGAAAATATTTTTCTGAATTTAAACTATTGTTTCCCAATTAAAATATGTATCAATCTTTTTATCGTAGGTCTTAGCTTGATATCGGGAAACAATTTCATAAGTTGAAGAGATTTTATTGTATAACATGGGTAAAAAGGATAAAAATAAGAAAAAGATAAGCGGTAATGTAAAAACTGCACTTAAAACTGAAAAAAAACAAAACGCTAAACAGAAAAAAGAATTGGCTGCACGTGGTGAGGTTAGATAGACTTACAACTGCATCCAAATATTTTTATATTGTTATTTCATACAGTACAAAAATAATTCATAATCTAATATCAAATATAAGAATCCTGACATTATTTAATAATGTAAATAATACTACTTTCATATATCAAAATTAATGTATTGTCATAAATGTTAGGATGACATAGAACACGTAATTGCTGAAATTGAAAGAGAAGAAGCTAAAAGAAAATGTATTATTGAAAAGACAGTAGCCCCACCGTCTCGACGTATAAACTGTACTTTAACAGCACATCCATTTAAAGATGAACTTATTATATTTGGAGGAGAATTTCATGATGGAAGAACGGTAAACTATATATTAATAAAATTTATTTGAACTGGTATTTTAATTATTAAGTGAGTTTAATATACTAATTGTTGCTTTTGTTTAGACATTTGTTTATGGAGACATGTTTATATACAGCTTAAGTAAAAATGAGTGGACTATCATAAAAGCGCCTGGTTCTCCTCCTCCACGTTGTAGTCATCAAGCAGTGACCACAACTGCAAATAAAGGAGAATTATGGATATTTGGTGGTGAATTTACAAGTCCATCAGAGTCACAATTTTATCACTACAGAGATTTATGGGTGTATAGATTTGCAGAGAAGAAATGGGAAAAAATTTCGTATGTTGTACTTGTATACTTTCTATGAAATAAGTAGAAAATATTTTGTGACTACTTATTTTCCTTTTTATTTAAGATCTCCTGGTGGACCATCTGCCAGAAGTGGTCATAGAATGACTCTTATAAAAAAACAATTGATTGTTTTTGGTGGATTTCATGATAATTTAAGGGATTACAAATATTACAATGATGTACATATATTTAATCTTGATACATATACTTGGCACAAAATTGAACTGTCTGGTAAAATTATAAGTAAAAAGATATTATTAGAGAAAATCTCTATACTCTAAATACATTTTATGAAATTGTAGGTACTCCACCACTTCCCAGATCTGGATGTATAATGTTACCCACACCTGACAATAAACTTCTTATATATGGTGGATACAGCAAAGAAAAGATTAAGAAAGATGTTGATAAAGGTTATGTTCATAATGACATGTTTTTAATGACACCTGAGAGTAGGTAATTTATTTTATATAAAAATATATTTTCTTTGACGTTAAATGATATTATGAATGTTATTTCAGAAAATGATCAAACTGGTTTGAAATGGAAATGGGTGCTTGTAAAACAATCAGGAATTAAAATATCACCAAGATGTAGTGTATCAGCTGTTTTAGTTCAACCAAATCTGGCCTACTTGTTTGGTGGAGTTTTTGATAACGAAGATGATGAAGAAGAACTTCATGGAACATTTTATAACGATTTAGTGGCCTTAGATTTAGAAAAATTTCAGTGGAGAATAGTGGCATTACATGGAAAGAAAGATATAACCACACGACGTAGAAGAAGAAAACCAAAAGAAGATGGTGGACAAGAAAACGATAGTGAAAATGAAGATGATAATCATAGTGAAATGCAAGAACCATCATCTGTTCCTACTGAATCTATAACAACTCATGATGATGGAATCTTCACAGTTACAATAGGACCCGCGCGAACATCTGTTACACAGGAACAGGAAATCACACAGAAGGATGTATTTATGCCTTGCCCACGGATAAATGCTGCACTTGCCGTAAAACATAATATTTTATATTTACATGGCGGTATGTTTGAAGATGGAGACCGGCAATATACACTGAACGATTTTTATAGTTTAGGTGTGTATAATTATAATTTAATAAACGTGTATATATGAGATAGAAGTTTGCAAAATTTTAACAACATTTTTGGTTTTTAGATTTTCGTAAATTAGATGAATGGAGAACAATAATGTCAGATGATTTATCTACTCAAACGTGGTTTGATGCCAGTAGTTCAGATTCGGATAGCGAAGAAATAGACGACAGTGACGGAAGTGAAAATGAATCGGAAGATGAACATATGGATATTGATGAAAATTAATACATACCTGCATTTAATTGTAAATGTATGATAGTCTTAATTCTTCAATCTGAATGTTTATAAAAAAGATTATAATACCAATTTAAATATACTTTTCTACAATTTATTTACACTTCTTTGGAAATTTGGGTCTTGCGTGAAATATTTTGTTCAATTTGCTTTAAAACTGAAGGATCCTGAAAAGAAAATATATAATAAATACAGAATTCAAAATGTAATAAAATAAAAAGAACTCACTTGTGCAGTAATAAACAATGTACAGTTGCAAGTAAAAGGATAACACACACTACTGTTGGTTTGTGTATAACTATTTTCTGGGAATACTGAAATATTTGAAACTTTGCTTCCAGCTTTAATTAAATTTATGGTATCATTATACAAAGTAAAATCTTCAGATTGATTAATTACAACGTGCACTGTAATAAAAAAAATTTTACAATTCTTTAAGAAGTTAATCATATTTTGTTATTATGTGAATAAATATTACCTTCTGGATTCATCTTTTTATTAATGTTACCCATAAAGCTTCTAATTTCTAAGATCATTTTTAAAACTTCGTTTATTCTTTCGTCCAGAGTGACATCTCTCCATTTGTTAAACTGTAATAATTATGCTTTAAGTTGACCTGAAGTTTAGAATTATAAATATAAATGTTCACCTGTTCTGGTATTGGATATGACGCTTCCATCAGTGATGCAATTGATAAAAATTCTGGTAACTTATTTGATAATTGATTATACAAATCATCAGATAAGTATGGCATTATAGGTGCAAATGCACGTAAAAATACCTCTAAGCATGTTCTTAGGCCGTATGTATGACTTATATCAGTATTTTCATTCTCACCTCTAAATCCCCATTTAGTTGCTTCCTATAATCATATGGAATCTTATGATTCTTGACACGTTTCAATTTATTCATCACAATCTTACCAAGTAAAAGTCACAAAATTCATAATATAGAAACTGTTTCAATGCCGCGACAGTTTTATGGAAATTTCGTTGCAGAAGTGTATCATTAACTGTGGTCACCATTAAAGATAATCGACTTAAAATCCAACGATCAATAACTGTCATACTCTTCGGTTCGTGGTATTTTTTTTCACTCGTCATAAGTAAAATATATTTGCTTGCTTGCCAAATTTTGTTGGAAAAAAATTTATTCGTTTGGCACTCCATTATATCGAAATTAATGTGTTGATCTGTTTGAATAAAAATAATTATATATCAATGAAATATAACATGTTATATGTATCAATGCAAACTAACTTTTAATGTTATGACTACACAGAGTCATACGCAATGCATCTGCACCACATTCTGGTATACCATTAGGAAACATTTTTTTGTTTGCACTCAACATTCGGCGCAGTATCGTTTCATTAACAATACCCATGTTATAACTTTTTTTCATTTGTGCAGTAAGATCCTATTTACATCAAGATATTTACTACAAATAAGTTACACCTTAAATTAAAACTCATTATTCGCATATATTAATGCTTACATTTAGAGTAATGCCAGTGATAACATTTTCGGGAGAAACAATATTTCCCAATGTTTTAGACATTTTCTTTCCATAAGCATCACATAAAAGCCCATGTAGTAGAACTTCCTATAATTTAATGGAAAGTTATGTAAATATTTTTATGGAGTACATGTTAACAAATTTAAAAAGTCATACATTAAATGGTAGTCGATTAGTCAGTTCCAGTCCTAACATGACCATTCTTGCAACCCAGAAGAAAAGAATATCATATCCTGTTTCTAATAACGTTAGAGGATAATATTGTTTAAAATCTTCTGTCTAAAATTTAAAACCATAATATAAAGACAATATTTTACATATTTAATTTATAATGTGTTATACCTCCTTTGGCCATCCCAATACTGTAAAAGGAAGAATTCCAGAAGAAAACCAAGTATCTAATACATCTGGATCTTTCTGTAATTGAACATCAGATCCATACTTCTTTCGTACAATGATGCGTGCGTCATCTTCAGTTCGAGCAACAATCCATTCAATTTTATCTCCCACTGTAATATAATAAGCAGGAATAGAGTGTCCCCACCATGTTTGTCTTGAAATACACCAATCTCTAACAAGAAGATTACGATTAAAAAATAGAACTTGTTACTAATTTTTCTACATTCTATGTTCTTTTCTCACCTAATGTTATTAAGATAATCGTACCATATCTGTTCATGAGTAGTAGGAATTATATTTAAATGACCTTGCTTTACAGCGTATAGTGCTTTATGAGCCATACTTTTACATTTGATAAACCACTGTTCTTTCAACATACATTCTACAATATCATGGGATCGCGAACATATCGGTATATTCATTTCATGTTCTCTTACACTTCTTAAAAAACCTTTATTTGATAGTTCATTTAAAACTTTCTCTCGTGCAATAAATCTCGGTAAACCCTAAAATATTTTTTTATTACATTTCCAGTTTTCTCAAGACACAATTATGTGAATTATAATATTATTATACCTTAAACTGTTTGCCTGCATTCGTTATGTTTCCATACTCATCAATAACTTCAATGATATTTAACCCATGGTTTGTTGCAATCTCATAATCCAATTGATCATGTGCTGGTGTTATTTTCACAGCTCCTAGAAGCTTTTATATTGTAAACATTATCATTGTAATACAAATTTTTAATAACTAAAATATATTAACCTGTGCCAAATTCTTTGTCAACCAAGGGGTCAGAAATAACAGGTATTAAGGTTTCTCTTAAAGAATGCCAAACTTGTTTTCCAATATATTCTGTATATCTTTCATCATCTGGATGAACAGCAATTGCTACATCACCAAATACAGTTTCTGGTCTAGTTGTAGCAACTATTATTTCATGTTCTGAAAAAAAAAAAAACAATTTATATTTATTTTAAGAACTACAATCTAGTATAAAAGATATATAACACAAAATTTTACTTGAATCTTTCACTGGATAAGCTATATGTGCTATTTCACCAAATGTTATTTTCTTTTCATATCCTGGAACCTGAAGCTGTGTTTTTTTACTAATATATAATCGTTCTACTTCAATATCAGATATTGCACTATGTAAAGTAGGAGACCAATTAATCAAATCTTTTTTCCTATATAACAGATTTCGCTCATTTAATGTTACAAATGCTTCTATTACAGCATTAGTATGATCCTGAAATATTTATTATAAAACTAAATAATCTACACAATAATAAAAAATGAAATACTTTGCACCATAAGATTTTAGTAAGTACTTTACTCATTGTAAAATACTCTCTGGACCAATCCAAGCTAGCACCTAAAGCTTTTATCTGAGATTTTATTACATCTTCTTTATCATATTTCCATTGCCAAATATGTGAAAGGAATTGTTCTCTTCCAATATCTGATTTAGAGATACCTTTTGTTTTTGACAGATATTTCTCTACCATCATTTGTGTTGCAATTCCAGCATGATCAAAACCTGGTATCCATAGAACAGGATAACCCCTCATTCTGTACCTAAGCAGAGAATTGTTTTGAATATTACAAATTGCAATAATCAAAAAATAGAACATTATAAGTTATAGATACCATCTTGCTAATACATCTTGAACTATGACAGTTAATGCATGCCCTAAATGCAATGTACCAGTTATATTAGGTGGAGGTAAAAGCATTTTTAATGCTTCTTTCTCATTGTTTTTAACAGTGAAATAGTTATTTTTTTCCCAAATTTGATACCATTTATGTTCAGCAGCTTTATGATTAAAAGTTTTTGGAAAATCTAAAATCAAAATACATCAATAATACCTTTAAATAAATGTATTTTTTTAAAACACATGTTATATTAAATTATATATTAAATACATAAATACCTGACAACACCTGAGTTGATAATGTACAATAACAAAATTTATAAGAACTACAATGCAGCAAATCATTAAACCGTGCAATATGCATTATTAATTTTGTTATATATAATAATATCAATGCATAATATATATATATACCTAAGAATACATAACCTATAATATGAATAACATTAAATTATTGATTTACCATAAAACTAAATGCATATCATTAATTTTATTATTCGTACACTGCGAAATAATATGTATGCATGTAAACTGCAAATGTTTTGTTAAAATTCAAACATTTGAACGTTGTCCTCAGTTACAGACAGTTACAGAATATAAACGCCAAATTGATTAATATATATTTATAAAAACTATAACGAATTACAACTAAGGTTCTATATATACATTTTTAACGTAGTAGAAGTCTTTAAACCATTTAAATTTAAATACATAAATAGCATCTAAACATTCGCATATCAATTTCGAATGGGAATTAAAATAAATGAATGTCTAAAAGAAATAACAAAATATCATAAATATTTATGTATTAGGTACATACAAATACCCGTAAAATTACAAAATTATATTCATTAATAATAGAGCGAAAGTATAATCTTAAAGTATAAAAAAATTATTTACTTTACATTAAGACGATAACATAATATATGTTTTACATATACACACATAAGATTTTGGAATGTTTAATCAGACATCCTTGAACTAAAATCCTAATGTATTTAGTAATAATGAACACTTTAAACAGAGCAAGAGATATTAAATTGAAGACTCATTCTCTCATTTTTTTTTATTATCAGATCGAATTATTCTTGTTTGATTCATTATTAAAGATATGCGTATACATGGTTCAAAGTTTCACATCGATAATTTGCAGTTGGTCTGCGAATCCAGCCGGGTTAAGACGTACTATCTTGCAGCGGTTTGACTGTCTTCCGTATTATTAAAGTGATTCTTTTTATTTTTACACGATCTTTATATATTTTTCAATTACCAAAATGTTGAAAGTAAGTTCTGAAACCTTTTTACATAGAAAGTACGATTATAATACATATTTAGCTTTAGACATAATAATGTTCCTCAATTTCATGGTGTCTTTCCATTCATAATGCACAGCATTCCACCATATCACATATTTACTATCTGCAGTTTTGTCGTGTATATGTAAAAAACTCATTTTTGTTTGATGTTTCGTAGAAAGTTACGTTGTATTTGATCCTGTAATATGAAAAAAATAATTAATAATAATAATATTAAAAAGGACTGTATGATATACACATACAAACACATACATATAGGTTGCATATGCGCTGTACTTACAATATGAAATGTTATTCAACTGTTATTATTCAGTGAGAATAATGTATAAAAAAATAAAATTGTTATCAGTATCAATAAAATGTTATGTATAAAAATAAATTTGTATGATTATTTTGTTAAACAAAATATATTATTCATTTTGCTTTTTTTTTATTTTATTCAATAGTAAGTTTAAAAGCTGGAATGTAATTATTGTTAATAGTAATTTCTGTAAATTGTTTGACAATGGTAAATAAAATTATACATTTCTTTTTATTACAATCAATACTGTGTTAAAAAAAAACATTCACACGATCAAACAGTGCATTTTAATAAGTATTTTGTGTACATGTATGAAAATAATTACTGTAAAGAATTAATAGTTTTCACCATACTAATATTATAAATATATTGATAAATGCTAAAATTATCAGGGTAAAAGGGAAGATTTAAATGAAACATAAGTAATGTATAATATATTTCAGGGAATGGTTGCTCTCGTCACTGGTGGTGCTTCTGGATTAGGATTAGGAACCGTGCAAAGATTTGTGAGAGAAGGTGCCAAAGTAGTTATTGCTGATTTACCCACATCAAAAGGAAATGAAGTTGCTACAACCCTAGGAGATTCTGCTGTCTTTTCACCTATGGATGTAAATATTGAAAAATTAGTACTATCATTACTATCAATAGCAGTAATAGTATTAATAAAGAATATTGTTTAAACAAAATTTTGAGGCATAAAATTCTTAAGTTTGTTAGCAGTATGACAATTAAAGAATTTTTGATGTATACTTTTTTATAAATTAATAGGTTTATTATATGACTATCAGTATTAGCAATATAACTACTATTGTGTGAACTACAAGTAATACCATTAGTAACTATTATGAATTGACATTGAAATTGTAATTGTATTCTTCTATGTTGTTAAATTCAAAGGATGTTGCATTGTTTTACAGGTAACATCGGAAAGGGATGTAAATGCTACAGTACAATTAATAGAGAAACAATTCGAAAAGTTAAATATCGTAGTAAATGCTGCAGGAGTAGCTTGTGCATATAAGGTATATAATCCTAACTCAAAGTTACCACACAAATTAGAAGATTTTCAGAGGGTGATCAATGTAAATGCCGTCGGGACGTTTAACGTTATTAGATTATGCCTGCCGTTTATGCATAATAACAAACCAGATGATGATGGACAACGTGGGGTAATAATTAATACCGCAAGTGTTGCAGCTTTCGATGGGCAAATAGGTCAGGCAGCATATTCCGCTAGCAAAGGTGCAATTGTCGGTATGACTTTACCGCTAGCTCGTGATTTATCAAAACTTGGTGTTCGTGTCGTTACGATTGCACCAGGGTTATTCGATACGCCTCTACTAGGTTCATTACCAGAAAAGGTACGGGTATTTCTAATGAAAACGGTACCGTTTCCAAGTAGATTGGGTAAACCGGACGAATATGCTCAATTGGCGCAACACATTGTTGAAAATCGTCTCCTGAATGGAGAAGTGATAAGGTTGGATGGTGCTCTCAGGATGCAGCCTTAAGTTTATGTGATTATGTATACTATTTATACGAATATGGAATTGGTTAAGGGATTTATAGCATATGGATTTTTAAAATAAAAATTATATATTAAAAGAGACATCAAAATATATGAAAGATGAATAAAACAATAACTTTTTTCCATGCAACACCATTATAATTCTTTTGAAATGTACACAAACAACTAAAAGTTTTCATCTATTATAGGTATCGACAATTTTCTTTATTACCTTATGACTGTACATTAACGTCTTGTAAATACGTTGCAAAAGTCGCAACACCCTTCTTTAAATAGTTCACTAGAATATCATCTAGCAAAAAAGTTGTGTACATAGTATTAACATAAAAATTTTTTAGTTGTTCCGTTATTCGTTAGTCTTTCTTTCCAATAACCTCCGGAGATTTCCAAAATTCCAGTAAATGCTGAAACTTATTTTGATGATTTTTCGGAAGAGCCAGTTTATTTGTTAAGGCAGGATAATCAGGATCTCCGAGGTCTAGTCAATCCTAGGCATTCGATTCTTTTAAATTTTGTAGCTTTTCTAACTGGTCAGGCTGTAATTCATCTGGAATACTTGCCCTTCCTCCTACTACCCTTTTTTCGGGTACGATTTCAATATCCTCTGTATCCTGTACCTCGATTACAGTACCACGAGATGGTATCGATTGAGAATTATCGGCGGTACTTGGGCCGGATGTTGAATCTGCTTCGCTACCAGAACTGCTGCTAACCGGAAAGGGTGCTGAATCTGTAGGCAAATCATCGACTGTTGATTTTTCTTCTATGTCTTCTGTTACTTCTGTAGCTTCTGTAGCTTCTGTAGCTTCTGTAGTTTCTTGCTCTTCTCTTTCATCCATTATCACGGTGGCCTCTTTGCAGTCACTTTCATTCATGTCAGTGGTAGTGCTCGATGGTAAATCAGCTTCAGAATTTTCTGCAGATTTTACCGTATCGTCATTGGTTTCCTCTAGACCGGGAAACGGATGTTCAATTTCTTCCATTGGCGTTGCTGCAGTAATCACAATTTGTGCAACGCCCAGACCAAAGTCTTCTTTGGACTGATCGGTGTTCAAAGATTGCGGATGTTTTGTTTTTTCATCATTTATCTAAGAGAGAGAGATAATACATAGCTGGTTTTTTAATAACTTCTCTTTTAATTATCGTTTAAGAAAATTTTATTTACCTTCGCTTCTGATTCTTCCAACACTTCTACAACTAAACAATAATTTTGTGTTCATTGAAATTTAGATTAAAACCTAAACGTAACAAATGATAATGATTCGAAGCTTACCTACTATACCAGGCCCTTCATCAGATTTATCACCTTCGAACTGCGAGCCGTAATGACATTTTTGGTCCTTTGAAAGATTTATCACAAAACCTTCTTGTTGTTCTTGTTGTTGCTCTTGTTGTTGCTGCTGTTCGGTGTTTACATTATTCGAGTTTTTCCCTTCTGATTCTATGTCAAATATAACAATGAGAATATTTATTTTATTATAATTCAATTTACACTAGTCGATTATTACCTTGGATTGAATTTTGCGCTAATTCATCTTCTAATAAGAATTCCAGAACTTCAGGCGGTGTAAACATAGGCGGCGCAGAGCTTGGTGGCGTTATATTTTCCTAATAGTAAAAAAGAAAGTTAGAAATTTGAAATCATGTTCGTTCAAAAACATTTTGTACATCTGTTCCGCAAACAAAATTTAACCTGTGGGGTCAAAGGTGAACCGTCTGCAGCGCAAGGTTCTACAATTAAGGATGGGAATAATCCTCGTTGTCCGCGTAATTCACCTTCCCACCATCCATCATCGACATCGTGCGGTTCTTTTCTAAGGACTTTTACGATATCACCTTCGAGGAAACTAAGTTCTTCGTCGCATGTAGTATCGTAATCGTAAAGAGCGATACAATATTGTTCTGGTTCTGGAAAAGCGTGAATAGTTTTAATATAAGATGGATTTAACCCCAGGACACTTGGGTACTCTATTCTTTCCCCTCCCTTTTTTTCATAGATTCTAACAATAAGAAACTTACCCCCTATGTGATTTTGTACAACAGTCTCTGTAACAGCAGGTTCTAAGTTAGCGTCTGGATCGACTGCATCATGATCGTCAATGGTATAATCGACTGAAGAAAAGGATATTTGTTGTACGAGTCCTGGTCCTTGCGAAGTCAAACCGGATGTTGTCTCTCTTTCGACATCGAGATAATTCTGAGGAACGAATCCCTCTTCGCCGCGATAATTTCGTGCTCGGAGCCAACCGTCACCATCACCTTCTCCAACAACTTCGAGTTGTTCGCTTTCAACGATTGACAATTCATCAGGATTTTGCGCCTAAAAGACAAATTCTTAATGTAGATCAAGTAAAGAACAGACTGAAGTTGGTGTATTCGTACCGTATACGAATAAAGCGCGGTGCATTTATATATTTGCTGTGTGGAAGGCGGCTCGGTTGTTTCACCAGTTTCAGCAGTTTGCATTTCATCTTTCTCCTCGTTATCCCAATCCACCGATGTTGGATCATCCCAACCGACTGTAAGCTGTTCTATTCGTTGCTTCTCTTGTTCAACTAGAGCTGTCGATGGAATAAAATAGTCTTTGTTACTTTAATTCAAAACTAATAACAAATATGTTATTGTTTTGTATGTTAGTAAAGACTGACGGCTTTCCTTACAATCATTATAGGGAAAGTGTTATTGCGTACCATCGACTTCTTCGCTATCGTGTCTTTGCCTTTCCTCTGTGCTTTCTTCTTGCTGAGGAGCGTTTCGTGCACTGCCTGGTCGTTCAACGGTAGTTAAATCGCTACCACCGTCTCCATCGCTATCGTAGAACGAGTCTGAGGACGGATGTTCCTATACACGTACGTACATCGTAGATATTAATTTCTTGTCATTGTTCGAGGTGTTCTTGTACATGAAGATAAATACCGCCGTTCCAGATGCATCGGTTCTGACGGAAAGAGAACTTGCCGATCGTGGCATATCCTGAACGCTCAAAGTTTCAGCTTCTTGCAACCACTCATCGACGTTCACTACAGAAATAATAAGATAGAAGCGATAGTAATGGTAGTGTGATTAATACGATTTACCCTATTAATTTCATCTGCATTAAACACACAAGAAAAAGGCAACAGATATTTAACAAACCTCCACCGTTTCGAAGGCATTCTATTCTCGCTTCTGCCTTCAGCTTTGCTGTCTAATGAACAAGTAAATAGGTAAGGTAGAGAATTAACGTGATTCACGTTTCACCAGATATCTTACCTCTGCACGTCGGATCGCGTGTTTCAGTTCATCGATTTTTGTGTCTATATCTGGACCTTGTGGATCATTTGGATCGCTCTAGAGCATTATTAAAAGTAATTGTTAACAAGTCGTTATTGAGTGTATGTACAATGAAACAAAAAACAAATAGTCAAAAGATTTGTATGAAGATTAGTTGCATGTTATGTTAACCTTTTGCCCAGACTCTTTAAGCTGTAAAAGAACTTGTATTTTTCTATTATTTTCTCTAATAGTGCTTATTTCGCGTGCTATTCGCGTCGACCAGCGACGAGCTTCTTTTCCAAGCGTAGCTGCGGCAGCATGATCAGCCGTTACCCTGTAAGAATTTCGTTTCTCTGAGTACTGAAAGAGTTAACATTTCAGCTGAACGTTTACTATTTATAAGTTATTTGTAAACCTGTCTACTGGATCGTTGTCGCAACACTCGAATTCATACTGTATATGTTGTTTTAGAACAGGATAATATAAGCAGCAACATTGTATGTTGTACTCTCTAGTCAGCTATGAAAGGTACAAAGAATAAATGAGAGAAAAATGTATCGTTCAATTCAATTCAATTATTTTACTGCAATACAGAAATCAATTTAATTGTGATCTTAATTTGATCTTTTGTACTCACTTGTTGCGCTTGGTCGCGAATCTTGCCGAAACTATTTTGTGTAGCTAAACAAGTCAAAAGTTCTGTACGACCCATTAGGGTTAAATATTCTGCTACCTTATCGTAAACACCTTGTTCTAAGTACTGTTAAAAGAAACAAAGGAAAATACATTTTCATTCTTTGTCTAGTAAAACTTGAAGACTGAAAAATGGATGAAGATCAAAATTGACTTACTTGCATAGTATTTTGTAAATCGACTACAAAATACCTATTCTGATGTGCATTGGCAGCGGCGAGACTAAGTAAATAATCGTTTCGAGCTCCCGTTGATTTTTCTTCTAAAGCATCTCGTTTAGAGCTTACCTAAATATAGAAATTCTTAAATGTAAAAAATTCTTAACATCTAACATATAAATCCTAATAGAATAGTTTTATACCTTTGCACTATTTTTTTGTAATGACGTTATAGATTGAAAGAAAGATCCTTTCTTCTTTTTTAATCTGAAAACGATCAATAGCATTTTATTGTTGTCTCGAATAGAAAGCAATACTACACGTTTACGTACTTCTCTTCGATATCTTTTGCCTTATCACGTACATCGTGGGCACTGTGCTCTTCATCGAAGTATAATTTTTTCGTTTTGTCTACATCTTGTACGCACATTTGCAATTCTTTTTGTACTATCATTAATTGGTCGATTGCCTATAAGATAAACCGTGTTGTGTACTTTACGAATGAATATCGCCTAATAATTGTTTCAAGAAACAATACCTTTTTGGAAATTTGAAGTTTATGCATTTTTAAACCTTTCGCATCGTCAGCAATTTGTTGCTGAAAAACTTCTACAGCGGCTAATCGCGCCCTGGCAAGCTTTTCGTTTTCTTCCAAAACGGTTCGCCATACATTCCACATATTCCTAGAATTTACAAGTATTTCGATGAAGATATTTTTAATACGTTTAAAAAATTACTTCAGAAATTAAATCTACCATTTTTCTTCCCCACCATCGACTTTGAGGTCCGGAATATTTGGTATCTTTTTATTTAAATACGCGGAAGATATTTTAAGTAGCGCCTGAAACAACCGATCGATTGCCACTTAAAATTTCGATCAATTTCTACAAATATAACAGTCTTCTTACCTCGGAATATGATTTCTCAATCGCAGATTTTTTTATCGTAAAATTACTGAAACATACAATTTCAATTAAAGGATTATAATAGTTTTACACGGATAAATTTAAAAATAAAAAAAAGTTGTATCATTTACAAACGATAGCGTTCTTAGGAAATTCTTGAAAAGTAAAAGCAAAAGTTCGAAGGAATTGAAATCGCTGACATAAAATAACTTTAGCTTAGACTATATAAAAGAGCTTTACTCTAATCCTCTTTTACATAAGTTTAAGGCTCACCGAATATCTTCCAGAAGGTCGCACTCGTGCTGGTTTTTCGCTTGCAACTTCGCCGCTTGTTCTGCGTGCACATTCTTAAGAAACTTTGTATAATTTCCCTGCAATTAATGAAATCATAGTATCAGCAAGCGATGTGTTCATTCGTGTTTAATTAAAAATTATGCTACCGCAGATATTTACTTTTGTATAGTTTATACTTTTCCAACAGAACAAAAGAACAAAGAACGTACGAGGTGAAAGGGTGAAAAGTGTAATGTTCTTTTCTCATCCCTGACAATCAAATCGGTTATTTTAATTATTCCAAAACGCATTTATAAAATAAGCATATTATCGAGGAGAATATGAAATATATTATATTAAATGTAATAAAAAAAATATTAAATATATTAACCAAAAAAAAATATCATCCACAGAACAAAAAGCGGTCTCCTTATCCATCACGGTTATCCACAGAATAAATATATTATCTAAAAAAAAGAATATTACATATATTAATATATGCAAAATAAACATATTATCGGGAAAAAAAACATATTGTATATAAAATAAAAAGCAGTCTCCTTTTTCTCGTCACGATTATCGGTTTCCCGTACGTCCCAATAATTGTCCGTCGAGGAAGCTAACAAGGGTAACGCTTTAATCAGCGGTAACATTGTTCGAAGTCAAGTTCAATTTTGTAGTACAAGCAGGTGCATCGACATCTTCCTTATGCATCGAGGCTTGCTTTGACCCTGTGAACTCTGGCGAACAATTTGTCGATATTTAATGCACACTGACAACCTGTGTAATTGTCGAAATTGCAGTTACCACCCACTCTCATCCGATCCTTCTTGGAAAGTCTAGCATTGCATTTTTCAATGCACAGACCTGGGAGATACGCTCATAGTCTAGGGACTCATACATAATTACTTTCTGTGTGCTCGTTACGTTATGCATTGTTACGCGGATCGTTAAATGGGAAAGCCTAGTTCATCGTTGCCGAGAGCAAATGTAAATTTTCCAGCTCTTTTTTTTCAGCCCTTTGCGTCAACCATCGTAGCAAATATGGTAATGGAAATATCAAGTAACAAGGGAAACCCTTTCGCATTGTTTCGTGACTACTTTGACGCCCGCCTATAAAAATTTCAACCAACCTCTCTGCCATGTAATTCTCGCTACTAAATCGAGCAAAAAGAATTGTAAAAAATTTTTCTTCTGAAATATATAATATAGTTTTGAGGTTAAGAAAGCTGACTTTTAATTCAGCTTGAATCTTGCAAAAAGGTCAAGCTTTCAACCCGAAGTGTATTTGCTAAAGCACCATAATATAGCGAAGAAATGTTCAGGCAACGAGCGGAAGGCCATACTGAGGGAAGTTTATAGTCATGAGCGTAATAAAGACTTTTATTATTTTGAAAAATATTTGATCGATTAAAAAGCTCGACGAGTCTGCTCAGAGCCAAGAAGGGCAAACAACAGAAGAGTTTCGAGGCTTGTAAATCTTTCATCGGTCAAACAAACAATTTTCTTCGTAAAAATTTCGAACGACCTACCTTTTAAAATATCCCGCTGAAACTAAAGTTTTTATAAGGAAACAAAAACAGGCAAACAGGAAGGTAACCGAAACAGACAAGGACAGTGGATACAAAGAATTCGTAGCGCGAAAAGCAAATAGAGGCGAGTGCTCGTGTAAAGCGTGTTGATTTAAATTTCAGTTGAAGTATGTTTTTGGACAACTGTTAGAAAATGTGTATTTGTTCTCTTTCCACGAATCTCTCTGGATTCTTATCACACGGCTGGTGTTCGACGAGTCGAAGTGGGTCAGGAATCTCCGGATCTTTAACTGCGAAACTTCATTGTCGTGAAACGAAGCGAAGGGCCGGTTGGTGCACCTTGATAAATAGGTCAGGAAATGCTGTTATCTTTAAAGGAATAGAGATAACTAAATGATGGAAAACTACTACTTTGGTTTGAGAAGCATAAAATTCGTTTAAATTACCGTCTTCTTACACACACTTTCGTATAGGATAATTTGATATCAAATAAATAAGATCTCATCGACCTTGAAGTATGGTTTGTGTTTCACAAATCTAAGAATTTGACAAATTACAGGAAACAAATATCTACATTTCTGTGAAACTTGTACGAAACTGTTGCGAAGAAACATGGCTCCCGAAAAAAAAAAAAATTGTCCTACATTCAAAATTTCAAGGATCGATTTTAAGTGGAAGCTTGCACCGTTACATAATGAAAGTGACAGATAGAAATTTTGGCTTAAATGAAGCGGATTTCATGAATGTATCACGGTGAAAATAGAGAGATCGTGAAAATGGAAGTCGTTACTTTACCGTTGATACCCACGTTCGTTTCGATTTGACATTATATTAACCCAGGTCTTTGGCCTGTTCTATACATTTTGAGGTCAGCTTTTGGTATAGATTCGCAGCAAGGACCGAAGTGCGCATCGATTTTCTCATCGTGGCAACGTTCGAGCGCCGTTTACGTCAATTTTTCCGTAAGACGTCGCTAAAGATCGATATGCGGTCAAATTTTACGTATCTTGATCGTGGCGAGAGCAAGTGTCAACCCCTTGCGCTCCCTACGATACACATGACACCTTGAGAATCATACTCTTTCTTTTCTGGATATTTTCTGTTTTCCTTTGACGGAATTCCATTTCCACTGTCTTGAATTTTGGTTATCTCATATTCTGAAATTGTACCACAGGACCTTTGGCCACGATACCCATTCATGCTCGGAGGAACACATTCCGTAGGAGTTTTAACAATGTGCAGTAGCATATATTGAATTTATAAAGAACATGTAACGATCAATGAAAGTAGAGGAGGAAATAATATAGAAAGACTTGAATCGTTGTCGTTCTAAGATGTAACAAGAATGACATGTAACGAAATGTGAATGTCAATCTTGTCGGCTTACTTTTCTCGGTGGTGGTTGCATGCTGGACGAGCGACCTGCTCTGCAGCCTCACCGCTGGCAGCCCGTTTTACACCGTCCGCCGGGGAGGGGTGCTCTGTTGTTTTCGTACGCCTCACCCGACACAATAATGTACGTGCTACCACCCTCACTGCTTGCGTGTTCGTACACTACTGATCTCCCGTCCTCGACTGAGCTAGCCTATTTATTGATCCCATACGCGCCTGCGTTTTCTCCATGTTACGCCTTCGGGATCTCTCATTCTCCTTTTTATGAGTTACTCCCCCGATGCTTTCGATCCCTCACGGTATTTACGGTTCCCAGTTTTCTCATGGACGAGCATTTCTAAGTTTTATCGACTGAAATCAATTGAAATTTCCCCTTTTCCGACATACTCGATTCTCATTCGAATCGATCATCATTTAAAAGAACAGATATAAAATTATGGCTACGATAGAGTAGCGGCAAGGAAAACAAGAAAGCATAGACTCGGAAACGGTACTCAACTTTATTAATCGTATAAAACGGCAAGTGTTGTTCGCAAATATCAACAAATTGTTATTCCCTGTTCGATAAGTAATTATTATCAGAAACGTTTAACGTTACATACAAAATTGAAAAAGTCGCAGCGGGCATTTTTTAAACTAGATGAACATCCACAAGATGCGATAATTTCACTATGTATCATTTTGACTGAGTCAAAATCGTACTTCTCTAACCCACAAGAAACCTTTTTAACCTCGCTTAAAGCGTACTTATAGTCGAGCAATTTCATTCAACTGATATCCAGTACTTACAGTATAAAAATATGGAAAATATGATAGAGTTTTCTCATTTGAAAACCACTGATTTCAAGTTTAATCATCCAATTAAATAAACTTGTGAGATAAGCGAGTTTCATTAACTTTGGAAATTGACGCAATAAGAAAGCAGTCCATAAATACTTGGTAACCGAATTTCGTGCCTGCTCAGTCTAACTTGTACATTCAACATTCATGGTAACTCGTCAGGTGGTATAGATCCAAGGTCTTGATCGGTTGGTAAACCTATGGCACCTTCAACGTCGGCGTCGGAACCAACGGGTAGTACGATTTCTGGCTGAGGCACGGGGTCTGCTGCTTGTAAAAGACCGATTGCTATAGGATTACCACCAGCATCTAATACTGGATCGGCAGTAGCTTCTGCAAGATTCGTTACAGATTTCGATTTGACGCATTGAAAATCAACGTGTCGACTTTTTGCTTCCTCTTTCTCCCAGGACATGTGAATAAAAGGTCTTTGGACGTAATTGTAAATTACTTCAGCACGTCCGCCTGCTCTTTTTTTGACTTTTTCTTTGTACGTAGGATAACCTTCGATGCCTAAACGAATTTTTTTCAAACCTCGTTCCTTCATTACTTGTTTGGCCACGTCTCTATTTTCAATATATTTGAAGAATCGGTACATCGCAGTGCTGTTAACAGCTGTTAAAAAAGAAAAACAATTTCGTTAATCATAAAGAATCAGCTAAAAGAGATACCTAATGTAGCTAATAAAGCTTTGAAGAGTACAGCCGGTATAATTATCGATTTCCTATTTTATATATTTTGAACCTTGATATTGTAAAACAAGCGAAAGTAAAAAAAGCTAACTTTCACACACTTACTTTGTGAATACTCCTCTCCCATTTGTGGTGGATATTCTTCATCCCAATCGACGATATCATCTTCCAGTAAGACAACAATGTGACATTCACGGTCACCTCTGCGTGCACTGTTTACCATCAAGGGCAATATCAAATCCTCGAGAAACACTTCAAATTGACAGCGCGCTCCTTCGTTAGATAACTCATGTAATAATCCTCCTATAATAAATTATCTAATTTCTAGAGCTCTTGTCATTAAGTTGCAAGCAAATGTCATGTTTCTGTTCTAAGTATCGACTAATCTGTTATTTATATAATATTATATGATAAATCGTTATGACTTCAACTTGCTAACAAAAGTTCATCAACAAATATAAGGAGAAAAGTAACAATGTTGTCTTTTTATTGTTTTTATTCAATTTACTTATGTATTAATAAACTCCATGACTAGATTGTAGATTTTACTTACTTAAATTTTGACACTTCACTGTACTGGCATCAAATGGAACAAGAAGATAATCGCAAGCTTCTCTTAATTCCTGAACTGCAACTGTTGGCGGGCATCGAATTACTCCACCTTTGTAATAATCAAGAATAGCTCGAAAGACCATGGCAGATATACCATCTGCAACTTCATATTCGCCGCGTTCGTTTGGTTGAGCATATTCAACACCAGAACTGAACATTCTACCTAACATTGTATTTGGATGTGCAGTAAACAATGCGGGATCAACAATAAATCTAAAAATAAAATTTTGTAAGATTAATTAAGTTAAAATACTATTTGAAATTGTGTTATGTAATGCTTACCTAGTATTATCAACAATAAGAGTAATGCGTTCATCGCTAGCTTGTGGGTTGTTTATACCAGTAACAGATCCAGAAGATGGTAAATTATCTCTATTTTGACTTTGTTGATTTTTTCCCACACCAACTCCAGAGCAAAGTCTGAAGAAAAATATGTTCTAAGTGACTATCGAAGATCACTTAATATTAATACCTACATAAAACAAACGAATTATAACTAATAAACATACAAAGCCATGATACAATTTTAAGTAAACTTGTAAATAAGACCTACCTTTTACATATTGATGCCTGGAGTCTTGTTTAATGATATAGAGAATAAGAATGGAAATACATCAAAATATAAAAATATCCAAATAATAACTTGAAACTACTTCATTTAGCAGGAAAAGATAAAGCAAAATTCTTTGTTTACAATATTCTGTTACTCGTTTGTAAATATTACCTGTTTTGTTGATTAACATTGGTATTTTGTCTGCCAGAATTGAAAGAATGACAGTGCCTTTCACTGCTTCCATCCCTTTGCACCAGACAAGATTTTGGTTTGGAAGATCCACCACAACTACATGCAAAACAACGACATTACCTTCCTAATGTTTGCATTCAACAACAAGCATTGTGTAGTATCTACCAATTCTAAAGTAACGGCCAATTGAAATTAATGGTTAAGTGTATATACACGAATATTTAGTTATGAAAGTAATTTTTTTTTCATTGTAATTTGGATTTCAAGTTGTAAAAGTGACATACTCTTATTTTTGTAGTGTGTCAATGAAAAATTCATAAAAAAATATATTAAAGAGGAAACTTATATGATTAATATAGAAACAAAGCTGTATAATATGAAACATTAAATAGATTTTAATTATATCATTCTATGAAACATTGCATTTTAACCAATCTTCAACTAATGAAACAATAAAGCATGCATACAACATACTGCATCGCAACAAGACTAAATACATGCTGTAATTTAAATACATAATGGCTAAAATGAAATTGTTAAAAAAAAATGTAACATGTTAGAAATTAGATGTTACAGTATTGTTGCTTGTTTAAATTTTCTACTTTATTAAGATATTAAGCTGATAATGTAAGATACCTAAAATACCTATGCTTTTCTTTGTTATATTGTGTAACAAATATTATACCTATTTATATTTTTTTGATGTAACAAACATTATACCTCATTCTATTTTTATAAATACGATGTTGTCCTCTGCCACCTGTTTCTTTGTCTGTTTCTGTATCGCTGCTGCTGTCTTGTACATAATTTAAACGATCAGCAGGATTCGACATCTTGGACCAACTATAAAAATATGTTGAAAGTTAAAAAAAAATATTTAAGGTAACAAAATGTATGAAACGCTTCACTAAAGTTATTTTATATTTGTTTATGAATAATTACTACATCTTTAAGAAACTTCTTAGATCTTCATCTTCTATTTCTCCAATTTCATACCTAGTGGCATACCTACACATATTATCAAGTATATTAAGAACATTAGGTATAAATACTTAAATAATACGAGGATTATGCAATAAAAATTAAATTGGACGCATAGAAGCTTCTAGTATACGAAAAGTTATTGTTACACTTTTGTTTACTGTTTTACAAATACATTCTATCGTATAAAATATTTAAAGAAATAAAAATATAACATATTCCTCAAGTATTTATTCATAAAAGATATAATAATATTACATAAAATCTTGAATTTACCTATTGTAACAATAATTAAGGACAAACTATTATTGTAAATTTACAAGTCGTTACATACTTTTATAGTCTTCGTAAAATATTTATGTGGAAGAAATATGTTTTAGATACGTACAAATTAGATATTGACAAGTACCAGCCAAGTTTTTTCAGAAACCAGTTGGTTGACGTACAAATTTCCAAACCACACGATTGAAAGTTAACCTGACCTCTTCTTTTGACGGAAAGTTGCATTCCAAACTGATGAAACAGATAATGCGAAACACCACGGTCATTGGTCATAGATGACAATTCATTCCGACAGGCGTTGGCTGATCTTTCCATAACAATGATTTATTGAAAATTTACCATGTCACAGTTCAAGCAAAACAGATGATTGTTATTTGGAGTTCATGGAATTATATTTTGCGCAGAAATTTTACCGTGAAAATGATTTCATTTTAACGTGTTACTTACTTATCCTCACACACCCAGTGTAAAATATGTTTTAAAGTAATACGATTTCGCGCCAGGGCTATGGAGGTGTTTCCTCTGATAATTTTAATGAAGATTCGTATCTAGTGTGTATAGGTTCAATGATATTTGGGATATATACCGTCACCAGAGTCCATAACTGCGAAAAGACCAGCTTTCGTTCTTCGCGCATCTCCAGTACGCATCTTCGCTCTGATTGGCGATACTCCCAAACGAAGTGGAAAGCGATTAGCAGAGAGCTCGCTGCGCTCCCCCACCATCTTTCAACCTGCGCGTCGCAGTTATGGACTCTGGTGAACTGCGGTATATGTAAATAAACAAGAGTAAGATACATTTAGAAATGACACAAATGAAGGTGACTGAAGTATAATTGAATATAGTCGGTGTCATTATCACAGTTACAATGTAAAATAATTATAAATTGATTTGGTAACTAAATATATTCCGTTTGTTTATAAAAATGTTTGTAAAATGTATTAGTGTAGTGACATGCGCCGCATGCTTTTTGTATACATTTTACATTTTATGTATTCTGTCATATTTTTTATCAACCCATAATGAAAACAAAGAAAAAATAATTTCATTGAAAAAAGGTAAACGCTGATAATAATTAGTAGTAATAGTATGTAATAGTATGTGTTTTAATGTATATTTTATCTCATAAATTTATATTACAGATGAAAATGTTGATTCTGTGTTATGGTTGTTAATAGTAAATATGTCCTTATTAAGCACTTTTATGTTACAACACTCACTTATGGCTAGTGATTTTGTAAAACACTTATTTTGCAAATTTCATATGGATTACTTGGAAAGAAGTATTTATAATGTTACCAGTGCTATGGCCCTTCATTTATTATTCAATCAGTGGCAAATTATATCACCAATTACATTGTGGAATGTTAATACATCATCTAATAGCACTGCATGGTTTATATTTACTGCTCTTCATGTACTAGCTTGGTCAATAATTTATAGTGGATGCTTAATGATGGATATATCTGAATTAGCTGGAATAAAGCAAGTGTATTATAAGTTTTCATCAAGACCAAGTCCAATGGTAATGAAATCAAAAGAATTATTGCGTTATTACTCACATATGAGACATCCAAGTTTCACAGGATTTCTTATTATTTTATGGATATATCCCTACATGACGTAAGATATATTTACAGTATTGAAGTTACATTACACCATAGTCAGCATTATATAAATGTATCAATTTTTAATGTTTATAGATTAGACAGGTTGCTATTAGCTTTAATACTTACAGTTTATATGATTCTGATGTGGACAATTGACAAGGAGGATTACAATTATCATGCAACTGTTGTAAAAAGAAAGCAGAGAGAATTATTCTAATATTTATTGATATATACATTGCCTTGCTGTACCATTGTGTTCATTATGTTCAAGTCACACAATCATTTTCAATATGACATTTCTCTTAATGCTTTATGTTGTAATAATGTGTATTTAATACAAATATTTAATAAATATGTATTTATACAAAAAGGAGCTAGTCTATGATTTCAATCAAAAGGGCTGTTCCTTTTAAAATCCAGTATGATTGTTGTTTTGCAGATGGAAGTAAAACTGCAACAACAAAATTTGTACTATGCCCTGTTGTAGATAATACACCTGCTCTTACAGCAGTTTTGTATAGAGGAGAAACATATCTTGGATCATTTTTTGGTAGCTCTAATACTGGATTTATGTGCAAAACTGGAAGTGTTGGATGCATTTCACCTAAAGTAAATCATTTAATTCATTTTTCTAAACAATGTATTGTTTTAAAAACATTATACTGTAAGGTACTTTACCTATATTTGCATCTACCAAAAGCATAGATTCAAAATCCCATCTACCAGCATCAATAAATAGTCCATGTATTAAGACACCATCTTTTGGAACTTTTAACTTCTTATATACTTCTATTACCTATAAATATTATATATACTATGTAATCATTTTTTTCATTGTAGATATTTAATAGCAGTTTATGCAGCATATCAGACCTCTTTCTCAAATTCTTTGTGCTTTTCTTCAACATCTTCTTGATAAAGTACAACTTTGGTAGGAATAAAGTCTAATTTCAGATGATCAATAGGAGTGTTATATTTTCTGGCACAAGTTTGCATCATACCAGTTAAAAATCCTTGCGGGAAAGACAAGCCCGAAATCCAAAAAGAAACAGGTTTTGTATCGATTAACCAAATCTATAACATGTAATAATTATTGAAAAAGTTATTCATTTTTTTTGAAATTTTAAAATATTTCTACTTGAATGAAATCGATCCGGAGTTCCAAATTTTTTATCCAACTTCCTAGTTTCTTCAGAGATGGATAAACATTTACATTATGCCACATTTTTGGTACCTGTTTGATACGAGCATAACGTTAAAAAGGACTCGTTATTGCGAAGTAGTAGGTCGAAAATTGATAGTAAAACCTGATTATTAACAAAAGCCACAAAGACATTTTCTAATTCTTCAGACATTACAACAAAACCCTTGATAGCTCGTTGTAAATTTTCTAACGATGTGTGTATTTTCTTTAGTAATATATTGTATCTGTCCACTTCATGAACGAGAACAGTAGTCAAAGATGGAAGTCTTCCCATCGAATCTCTCTGTAAAAAAACGGATAATGATATTATCTGTTTTATGACCAATCGTTACATTAATTTGGATTGTTTGCTTACTATTAAATGATTCGGATTACATTTCGTGGAATCTATTTTTAATTGAATTCTGGTTTTGATCATATCCGCAATTTCGTATGCTATATCCGAACTTGATTTACCCTGATCAGTAGCGGATTCTTGAGGTTGAACTTCCAACATAGTGTTTAAAATAAATTGTGCTTCTTTCAACTTTACATATTAAAAATGATCATTAATTACATACAATTGATTTTGATGCTATTTATTTCATTGTACCTGGTAGATAACGTTTGCATTCTCGTGCATTCCAAACACCTCTGGATCATCGATGATCGGAAAGGTTTCTACAAAATCTTTATATTCTTGTAAAGTTTCGTAAACAGGACAGTAATATTTTCCAGACTGTGAATAAACGTAATCTGAAATGTTTTGTATTATTGGATATCGTGATACAATTCATTAAAATGGTTCTGCTTAAAGTGTCTTACCGGTGCTTAAGATTTTGGGGGAAAAGAACATATCTAGAATAGTCTTCATACATCTTAAATCCCAGTTATCCGTCACTCTACCTCCATACGTGATTTCGCCTAAATTAGATACAGGAAATATTAACTGCATTTATTTCTTTTTATAGTAGCAAGTATATCATACCTGTAGTGTATATTAATGCATTCCAAGGTATCAGATTGTACGAGCAAAATATTTTCAGATTCAACAAGCAACATTCTCTATCGCTATCGTTAAATTCGTAAAGAATATTCCATCCTAAGGGTCCAAACTTTTTCCGTTCCTGAATGATAGCATGAAAAAAGCAAACTCCAAATATAATTTTGCGCCAGTGTTCTTTTAAATCTATATAGAGAATTAGGAAAGCTTAAAATCATTTGATAAGTTCTTTGTAACACTCTGATAAAAGACTTGTAATTCTTCCTTACGGTGTTCTTCGAAGAATTGATCGTCTAAATCATACAGCGCTCGTTTGATATTGGCTTTCAGACCTTTGGGTGGTTCGTTTGTAACTTTGACCGAATTCTGAAGCACAGACACTGGAAAAGATGTGCTCGGCATGGAACTTAGAAATAATCGAAAATCAGTGTGAATTACACCCTCTGGTTCCTCGGCAATTTGCAGTATAAGCTGTTCCATTTTGATCATCCACGAGGTGGCCAAGTGACAATTTTGTAAAAATACCCATCTCCCCTCAATCAGGCCTGTTCGTAAATGTCCTTCTGCAACAGGACCTTGTCCTTGTCCTAAAGAGATCGAGTCGTATTTGTCAGAGAAACCCATCTCGTTTGCAAATCTTAGAAAGCCACTGAAAGGATCTGATCCGGTTGTGAGTATGAACACCAGTGGTATTTTATTCGATGTATCTGCAAATCTATAGAAATTACATTGTGAGTAATGTTTTATTGCTTTATTGTATGTACAAAAAACAAGGTTGATTAAATTACACACAGAAGTTGCAACGAAGCCATAGGTGATTCTACGAATTTTTGTCCAAGATTCTTTGACACATACGCCGTGACCGCAAAAATCAATTGCTCTTCTTTTAAAGCTTTCAACAACATTAATTTCTCGATATCACTTAACGCATTATCCCAATTATATGTAGCTACGTTTCGATTCGTAGGAATCACATTGATCTCCTAAAAGAAATCGCTCGATTACAGTAATGCTTCGAAATAAGCAAGTGGCTCGGGACCGAACAGTTGCTTATTTCGAAGCAGGTAGCTATTCGGCTTGACTTTGTCCTCGAAACGGGACGATAGAGAACGCGAGAAACGAGTGAGAGATCCGAGGTAGCGGCAAATCATAAAGTGATCGGCCGAGCAGCGATGTTATTTTTTGGACAAGGATAGAATATAACATGCCCTCTCATTCTCGCACTATGCTTTATTTCGAAGCAAATATACCAGACTGAGAAAGCATTATATATATTCCATCCTTCTTCTACTAACCGATGTCACTGCTCAGTCGAGCGTGAAATTTATTACCCTAAACATCGGCTTCGCGCTTTGATGGACCTCTCACTCGTTTCTCGTACCTCTCACTTTGCGGGCGACTTCAAACAAAGAAGAGGGGATAGCGACTTGCTTATTTCGAAGCAGAGACCACTTGCTTATTTCGAAGCATTACTGTATATGACTGTAACTGAAATTAAATAACTTGTTACCGTTTTAAAATATCCAAGAGTTAATT